GCAAGGAAAACATACTGAGTTAACGGATAATATGGTTAAGATATATTCTTTCTGCAATTCATGTATGCCATATAGCAATGTGGATATAGGTTTGTATTGAGGGCTTTTTGGGGCATGCTTTGAAGGTTTTATTATTATTTGTTACAGGTTCATTGTGTATGGGCAGCAGCAGAAGCTTATTCTGCCCCATCAATTGTTCTAACATCTCATTCCCATGATGGATTACACGTTTTTGATGATTTTCGCGAAGCCTATGCATGGTTGAGGCATAATACTGATGTCGATGATAAGGTTATTTCTCATTCCCTTTCCTTTTTATGTCTGTTCTGCATGTTAATTTATGTTTTTGCTCAATTCTCTAATTTTCCAATAATAGTAATTTGGTTATTAAGTGAACAAAAAATTTATGTTTGATATACTTATGCAATTTATAGTTCTTAGATGCTTTTCTTGACTAAGGTAGGCAATTTCGAATAATACCGTCCGGTTCGGGCGGTATGTACCGGTCTATCAGCTTACCGATACATGGACCACCCGTTACCGGACGGAACAAAAAAAATAAATAAATATAAATATATATTTATTAATTTATATAAACGAGGTGATATCGTCAAAATTGTGTTGCATATCTTTCATGATGAATACCAGCTGAATGATTATGTTAGAACATATAGTTTCTTTCTGATGAATGAACCATGTAACTTATATGAATTCGATCTCTAGTACTGTTAGTAGTTATTGCAGCAACTAATCCGGATTTGATGTTATTGTTGCTGCAGCGATTAATTTGGGTCTGATATTGTTGTCTTACAATGACTCACTCATAATCGTTTAAACCTCATACAAGCTTAAGCATGTGAATGAAGAAAAAGTTATTTGATGGATCATTCATATCTGATATTTCGTGTTATTTGCTGGAACCGGTGACAGTGTACTCTTTTGTGATTTCTTAGTCTTGTTTCTTTGTAGAGAGAGATTAAACATTATAAGAATATAACCAAGTTAGGAATATAATGAACTCACTTTATTGCAAGACCTAGGAGACTAGGTTTTTAGTATTGATTCTGATACATTTCGGTCGCTGGTCTAGCCGGTATGGTACCAAGACACCAGATGGTAGGCTGACTTCTACTGGCCTGGTATCACTATAAAAACAATATAAGATTAAATATTAATTGGCGCTGACTTATATGGTCCAATATTGTTCCATGGATAAACCAGTAAATACTGTTGATATGTACCAGTCTAACCAGTATTTAAAACCTTGATAACAAGATGGCGATGTTTTCCAAGGTCTCACTTCTGGTATTGGAATCAGGCTGTCAGCAGCAGTTGAATTGGTCACCTTTCATCATTCTAGATTGTACAAAAGCAAAACCTGTAGCCTTTTAAACATGTGACTTCTAGAAATTTAGGAAGGTTGTTTGCTGAATATTTAAAGGTAGGTTGCACAGTTAATATTTTCTTCAGGAGAAGGAACCATAAGTCAACCTTGAAGGTAAAACATACCTAATGCATTCATTATATGACTGTGGGTGCCTTTGTTAGTGAAGGGACATATAATCACTTTGCATTGGTCTCATGATATAGTTCCAAACATGCATGTTCTTGCTTAGGTTGTGAAACTAAATATGGATATCCTAAAGTAATTCTCATGATCGGCTCTCTTTGGTTATTTCTTATACTAGTCTGGTGTGTAGCAGATGGTAATGCAAAGGCACTTCAATTTGTTCTACATGTTCAAACCCAAGCTATTTGGAACCTTGAAGCAGAAATTGTTAAATAGTATCTCTTCCTGCATCCTGAAAAATAAACTAAAATGCTCTTTTTTTGTTGTTTTGTATTAAGCCATATCAACAGTAGAAGTTGAATATGCTTGTCTACAAGATATATAGAATGCATATATTTCAAATATCCCCAAAGAATGCCTTGTGTGAATCAAGTTTTTTAAAAGGATAAGGTTCTGCAGGTTGCCTCTTGGTGGGACTATGGTTACCAAACAACCGCAATGGCAAATCGTACTGTCATTGTTGATAATAACACCTGGAATAACACTCATATTGCAACTGTTGGCACTGCTATGTCTTCTCCAGAAAAGCCGGCATGGGAGATATTCAACTCCCTGGATGTCAAATATGTTTTGGTTGTCTTTGGAGGTTGCCATTTTAATTTGTGATCTCCTTAAGATCTTAACTTTATTTAGATACTTGGATTCTGTAACTTTAAATTTTCTTGCAATGGTTAGGTCTTGTTGGCTACCCAAGTGATGATATTAATAAGTTCCTTTGGATGGTTCGAATTGGAGGAGGTGTGTTTCCACATATCAGGGAGCCTGACTACCTTGTAAGTTGTGTATTTGTTTTTCTTTTATTGAAGGGTAACATATTGCAACTTTTTGTTTGTCATTTTTCAAATGATTGATTCGATGGCAACACTTATGAATTTTATAGATTTTCATCAAATCACTGGCAGATGGAACTATATCTGTTGTAACAAAGCTATGCTAAACCAAATATATAATTGCATGAAATTTATCTGGGTTGTTTACTAGTGAGAAATATACAAAGTTATGCTGCATATTCTTGCCATGTACACACTAAATAAATCTCAATATTTTGAAGAGCACCATTAACTGTGTATGTTATAGCTTTAGTAAGTATTTCTGGAACAACAATAAGAGAATTTTCTTTCGTTTAGTAGATGTCTTTATATAAATCTGAATGCTCTACTTTTGATATTCCCGTTCTCAAAAAAGAGGGATGGCCAATATCGAATCGATGCACAGGCAACTCCAACAATGTTGAACTGCCTTATGTACAAGCTGTCTTATTACAGGTTTGCAAATCTCTCTATTCGGTGACCTGATAAATAGTTAATAGTTACAAGTGAGGCTCCCTTCTGTCTGTCTTGCTTTGTTTCCAGGTTTGTAGAAACAGATGGTAAAGGCTTTGATAGAGTCAGGAGGACAGAAATAGGGAAAAAACATTTCAAACTAACCCATTTCGAGGAGGTAATATCTTTTTTTGTTTTGTTTTGTTTCCTTTGCTAGATTGCAGACTATTATCTATAAATGAATGTAGCTCTTCCGATTGGAGAACTGCTTCGTTTTTCCACAAGATTGACAAAATCTGATGTTAAGAAAACAAGTTACAGGATTTTCAATGAATGAATCTGCAACCTGTCAAATTATTTGCTTTTGTGTTTGATCCAGGTGTTCACTACACATCATTGGATGGTCCGTATTTACAAATTGAAACCCCCAAAGAATAGGATCCGGGGAAAATCGAAGAAATCTAAATCAGTATGTGGAGGAACTGTACACAAGTGCTTGGAATTTAGTTCCTGCTAAGCATTTCTGATGTCGTCCATCTCTCTTTTGCAGAATTCCAAAACAAGTCCAAGCAATTCGAAGAGGCACGGTAACTTACGGAAGAACCCCTGGCAGTGATTTGAATAAAGCAAATTGGCCGTCCGGTATAGTGTAGCTGGCCCTTCCCATAGACTATTCTTGCCGTTTTGCTCATGAACTATTGGAAGAGTGAGTTGCAGCTAATAGCGGCGGATGCTTGGCAGAGGACTAAATACAAGACTATGATCACAGTCCCTATTATATCTTTTATTTATTTTTTGCCTTGCATCATCAGGGGGAGATATGAGATTTTTGATAGCTTACCAAGAAAGACCCTTTTAGATTTGTCATTTGTCATGTGATAGTGATTCATCTGTGTAACCTCGGATCGTTTGGCTTGTAACGGTGGATCCCAACCAGAGAAGATAGCAGAAATAACCATGCTTGCTTGCTGAATCGTTTTCGGCAACCTGATAATATCGATTTCCTTAGTTGAAAACGAGAATGTGGGGCAACCTCCGTTACAAATATCAACTGATATTGTTTTATACCGCTTTAAGCTCTTAAGTTCATGAGGGTAGTAGAAGTTAAGGCGTGAAATAATTGTTCAGTTATTCCTTCTCCTAAGGTTAGAAGCCAAGGCACTCGTATTTCATATCTTGTTTCTCGCATTCATGATAATTTTTCGTAGGGCATTTGGGTTGTCCCTATTGTTCTCATAGTCACTATATGTAAGCTTCGCAGATATAATCTCATATTTTAATTGATATATTTATTTATATTTTATATTATTTATATTATATATATATATGTATATTATTTATATATTTTTAATTGATAAAATCTCATATTGGACCAACGGTAACATATATATATATTATTTATATTTTTATTGATATATTCATTGTAATTTAATGTGTGAGACTCAGGTAATATAAAATCCTCTCTCCAGATCCTCTCTAATTGGTCCAATGTGGAAGTGTATTCCGTTGAATAATTAGCTGTGCGTAATAGATGAAGAGACATCCTAGCATATTGAAAGATTTAGGGGGAGAATTAAAATTCTGCAATGAGAGAGTGAGGGAGGGAGAGAAATTTGAGAGGGAGAGACGGAACAGCTGGACTGTGGCGAAGCATGCTACTTATTAGGCGTTAACTAAAGCGCCTAATAAGTTACTAATATGATTCAACCCCATCATATTGGTTTAGTCGATCGAACTAAGTTATTATTATTATTTTTTCTAACAATGAATAAACGACGAAAACAAGATTTAAACACAGGACCTTAAAATAAATTGATCAACTAGACTAAGTTATAGCCCCTTCCTTCGACAACCACCCGTCAATACATATACTAACCTGACAAGTAAAGAACACCCACCTATCATCGATGTTTGGCTTTCCTTCGACACCACCTCCTTGTGTTTCCTGTGGTGGTGCCGCCAGTTAAGCCCACCCGGAGAGGCAGGCAACCATCAAACGCAAGGTAAGATTATCTAATCAAGTATATAATATTCGTTCTCTATGATGTGATGAGATCTAATTAGTTACTAGCTAGCTCAAACAGTAATTAATTATTTTCTTTTTTAATAAGCAAAACCTTAATGTTCCAAAGGAGCCACTAGTAAGTAATATGACGCAAGGACAAGCCTTTGTTGCCAACCAATAAATTCTCAATGCTACTTATTTTTGAATCGGTTATTTACAACAAATAACAAAAACAAAAAAAAACAAAAATGAATTGATACTGTCAATCCCTCACAAAAATAATAGAGCACCATACTCGATGGTAGGTCCTCTACAAGACGTTCGTCCTGATTCCGCACACCCTGCAGTTTAATGCCGTAGAGCGGCCATGCAAGAGGACAAAAACAAAACTTTGCAGTTGGAATCGTTACCTGTTTCCGCCGGCGCCAGCAGCCCTAGGATGATGACGCCTTGAACCTGGTCTCTTGTCCCTCCCACGCCTCATGGATATCTTCCCCGGTAGCTTCCTCGATGGAGGAGCTCTGGTGAGCCTGTCGTTAGCCAATGCAGGAGGTGGTGGACGGACTAGGGCTGCGAGTGCTTTCCGTTGTTCCAACAAGTCTCTGTGGTACGCCTGCATGACAGAAACTACATGATCAAGAAAAAGAATCCAAGTTTGAGAGGTCAGATGAAACATCCCCATCATATTTGAGGAGTGCATGACTCCACACCACCGCCAACAGAAACCACTTCAAGCAGAGGGCTGCAGAAGAACTTCATAGTTTATTCCCAACTAAAAGTATGGTTGCCGGTAGTGCCAGAACAAGTAACTGTGCTTTGCCCATCTATTCCGGTAGACACGAATGGTGTCATGTACAGGCAATCCATGCTTCTACCTCTCGTGTTTTCATTTTATAATGTAGTGGATACCCTTTATAATGCGTATTGAATGAAGGACATGGTTAAGAGTCGGAAGTACCTGAACGACAAAGTTGCGTCTTTCACAGTCCATAAACATGTTGATTGTCCAATTCACTTGAGACATTATCTTATCCCTGACAGTGCTGAAACTGATTTGATCCCTAGAAGTAAAGCGGTCCACTTCGTTGAACCATAGACAGGTGAACAGATTGGTAATGGGTATGTGCTCTTTTATGATCACACATCCCTCAGGTACATCTGTAATTAGCAATCAGCATCACAAACTTTTAGGACATGCGGTTCCAGAGATAAACCTACAGTATCTTCCTATAAAAAGAAAAAAAAAGAAATCTATAGTATAAAGATTTCCACACTCACCACTTGTAATAGGAAGCTTAGATGAAGAATAAGGTGTCAGACCCTCTTTCTTATAAAACTCGATTTGATAATCTATAGATGCATTGTCATACTTCCCAGCAGCTTTGTTAGCCTCTGCTTCCTCGAAAACATCAAAGCGCCTGTAGTGCCTGGAGATCGCTAAAGTGTAGTTCTTCCGCCACAAGAATCTGAAAATCAGTGAATCTCTTTGTAGTTTATACGTAAGATATCCAAATTCCAATCATACATTTTAATGAATGGCATTTCGAACATCACACTTGAACATAAGCTAATAGGCAACTTAAATAAATTAAAACACAGGTGTCCTTTTTGTGTAACTCTTCAGCAAACACTTCCAATCATAGTTTCCTGCATGTTAGATCAGACATGAGGTGTGGGACAATCACTTTCTCAACAAGAAAAGTTCAAGGATAATTACAACAACAACAAAACAATAAATCCCAACTATTTGGGGTTGTATGATTAATACAATAAAAATTATTTAATCACATTATTAACCGATGAGCCATAGGGATGAAAAGAGGGACCAATTCATTTTTTGAGGACAAAGGAACATGGGTGACATCATAATCAATGCTGCATCATGAAGGTCAACATACTCGGCCAACAAATTAAAAAGATTCTGGCATAACATCATTCTCATGCCACTAGTGGAGAAAGAAAAAGAATACAGAAATGCTATAAGCACTAAAATTCGAGCATCCAAGTACAAACCCATCAATGATCTTGCTAAATGCATGATTTATAAGATTTTGTATTGTTACAAAATGTAATTGTTATTTCATATTGCAATAGATGCTTCAAACTAGTATCACAGTTGGTTGATCATTAACCTCTGCTCTAGCATCTAAATTAGGTACTGTAAAATATACAACAAAATTTTTGCCTAAATTTAGATGTTCATAGTTCCATAACCAATAGAACATAAACAGGTAGCCCAGATTATGAGGCTCCTACCAATCCATCATCTAGACCAATGTGTGTACCCTTAAGCCTGTAAGTAAAAAGGTTATTTTCATGGTTCTAACACAAAGATTGCAAGGGAGTAACAACCTCATCATAACGACAAGCTCGCCTACCTAATAAATGCATGCAAAAATATGCAATTTACAGTTAGATGTTACATTGTTTTATATATGTAACTGCACAAAACTCTTGATGTGGGATGATTTGATGTTCATCAGGTACAGTTCCATTAAGCATAAACGTAAGTTACCATCACCATTAGTTATGACATACCATTTTGTAGAAACTCAAGCTAGTTGACCACCATTAAATAGAACACATTTCAGCTCGTAGAAACTTGTGTTTAGTTGTCCTTTTCCACAAAAATGACAAAAAAACCTAGGGATCATAATAGTTAGGGCCCCCAATTGAAGGCTCAAATCAAGCAATTCCTTTTATTTATGAAAAAAACTAGTTAACATATTCCTTGCTAGACTCCTAATGAAGTTATACATACATAATTTAAGATGCACCAGTGCTTTGGTTGCTATTAAAGCACAATCCAACATGCGTAAAACATCTCCATGGTTCTGTCAGATGGATTACATCAATGTGACGTATTTAAACCTACTTGATACACAATAATGTTATTCACACAGGCTAAGAAAAATATAAGAAGCAAGCCCTTAAATGAAGTATACCTCTCAAGAACTTGATAGGGATCCGCAACAAGCTCAAGTTTTCCATCAATCCAAAGAGAAAACCTGGCATTTGGGAATAGCCTATGGAGCAAAAGTTTTGGAACCTGCTAAAGTTAACGAGTCAGGAACTATCTATAACATGTATCGAGCATTGCACAAAAAAAAAACCTTTTAGAATACTCTCAGTATAAATCAAGATTGCAATTAAACCAGGTATTTATGACTTAAAGCAACTCATCACCTCAACCAATTGTTTACAACAAACAGTTTTCTAATTAAATAAAATAACATAAGAATAAGAAAAAGCATCATTATGTGTCAATTCTAGTCAAACTTATTTATAGAATCATGTTATCAGATGACTGTTTAAATCTTATTTTATCTGAGTGTACTGTCTTAATTAGCTCTGCAGTCCAAAACTAGAAAGACCAAGAAACAGGTGTTAAAGATGCAATCAGAAAAATGTGATTATTGTCAAATATATTAAAAATAAGATCAGATAAATGATAAAATAAAGACTTTTTAACACTGGCTAAGGTTACTATTTGTTTGAATTAAACATGAAATCTGGTACTCCAAAATATGTTCACAGGTTTACACACTGATAAAGTTACTTTTGTACACACCGCCTGTCGATCTTAGCACACATCTATAAAAACTAAAAAAAGTGAATATATAAAAGAACATTTGCATCCCTTGATCTACCTAAGGCTCAATTAACTAATTGAAGATGGCTATCCAGGAGCCTTAGAGCTGCAGAATTCCTTTTGACTAGTAGCCAACTGCTAGTGTCTTAGTGTGTTCCCCAATTACTTAGAGCAACCTGTGTCTGAGACAGCTGCTTCAAGTCATCATCTCTATGTCTAAGTTTTTCTTCTTTTAGCTAGGTTAGCTTTCATGTTGAATTGTTGATCTTTAGTCTCCAAGTCATATAATTTCTCTTTCTTGTTAGTTCACAGTCATTATTGCCAGTGAAAATCCTTATAACAGACTGATGAAGTGATACTTCTAGACTCCAAAACGTTCAGATCCCCAAACGTCCTTACAATCATTTGGACCATTACAAGGCAACATCTTAAGTGACTTTAATCAAGTGCTGGAACTTCCTACTTTCTTCTTGGTCAATAAATAATCCCTAAACGAGCTAGTTAGCTTTACCAATTATATAGTGGAAAGTGGGCATCAGTAGAAAGAGATGTTTTTCAACATATTGAGATGTCTATCCAGTAAAGGAAATTCCACAGTGAGGATCAGTCCTAACTCATAATCCTGCATGGTAGATATAGGCAATTCAAGTAAACTATATATTTTTTAGTAGGATGTAATTTTGTTTCTCTTAAAAATATTTTAACAACATCCTGAAGGTTTCAGAAACTTTAATCCATATATCAACATAATTTGGCTGATCTACTTGTTGGTGAAAATAGTCTGACCATATTATCTTCAAGTGTTAGATGATGCTAGATGAAAGTTGAAGTAACCAATGGTGGTCTAAGAGTGAAACATACCTTCCCGTTGCGTCTTGCATCTACATAAGGAAGGTTTCGAACTACCACAGTTTTCCATAGACCAACTCTTTTGGAATCATCTAGACCACTAGAGTTCCTCATATATGCTTCAGTTTGTTCATCAACAAACATATAAAAGCATGCATTCCTCTTTGCATATTCACTAATATTCTTTGGTTGTTGCATTATATCATAATTTCCTGATCAACAAGAAGAGATAAGTGAATTAATCAAAAGGAAAGGAGAAGCAATGATGAAAGGGTAAAACGACTGAAAAACAACATGAGAAGTAGTGCATTTATACCAAAAATAGCAGAGGCTACAACAACATCATCACATTCTTCCATTTCAAGAAGATCAGTGTCATTTATATCAAATCCAGTTCCTTGACCAGGTTTCTTTCCTTTGGCAAATCTGACGAAGAATAGTTTAATGGGCTTAGCTAAATACAGCAGTTAGAAGGCCACTTCACTTACATAAGCACATCCATAAGGAAGATCCAATTAAAAAGTTTTGGGCCACAAAATTTGTGAAATAGTTAGTTTTGTCCGAATGGGAAATATGGACTGACAAGAAAAGTAAATCATACCCACAGTGCACCATCATCGATTCTTTTATATTGAAAGATTCATTCCTCTCAAGCAGAGACGGATATCCCCCAAAGATAGAGCCGCCAATTGACTCATTAGCAATCAAGTTATCTTCCGAAAAATAACTTAAATTCTTAAGAACAGGTGATGCTGAGGGCGAAGGTGGCATAAGAAGTGCAGCCTGCTCTGCAGGCACATAACAGACAGGACATGCTACAAAACAGAAAAATGAGAGAGTTAGAAGAATAGTTGGTTTAAGAATGAACTGAAACTACAAAATCTTGTTCTCTGAATAGTCAAGAGCTCAAGACTTACGACGTGGACCAATGCGCCTCTTATCAGCTGGTGGAGGAGGAGAAGAGAAACTATCACAAGGATGCAGTTTGGGAGGAAAAATGGGGGCAGAAATATGGGTTACATTATGAGTAGTTGCAGACTCCTGGTGTGAATGTGTAGTTATACCAACTTTCTTTTTTTTTGCAGGAATGAATGGAGGTCTAAAATTATTCAATGGTGGGATACCAGAATCTACGAAGTTCTGGACCTGATCTGCGAAAGCCATGCGAGTGTCGGGGTTCGCTGATGCGTCATCACCTGGAGTAGCAACTGAAGAAATCATCACATGCTACGATAATAGATAACAGATGTATAGTTATATGCACAAAAACATTGGACACTTAAATTTAAGAAAACAACAATATTACACCGGCAGAATATCCATCTGCACTCTAACGGGTATATCTATCTTAAAGCCGGTATTGTTATTGGTGGCAGTTTGTGTTATGATGACAAATAATGTGATCCAAGTAGCAGCAAGCCATGTTGAGTAACACAAGTTCAAAGATTCGCTTGTTTGCTGATTATTCGACAGCCATCGCTTGACACACACAGTTATAATCATAACCAACAACCTATTACAGAATCAGATACAAATGGTTCAGTAACTACATAACAGACTTCCCATACAGATTGCACCGAACTAATGATATCACTGTGTCTTTGTGAAAAAGAAATGTTAAATAAGACTTGCATCAGCCATTTATTACTGTGTTTGATCATCAAACAATTGGCACATAAATCTACAGTCTCTGGTTTCAGTTGTTATCGTCCTCTAAAAAATCCATAGGGGACGAGAACTGCTAGAAACATGCAGAAGACTAGAATGGTTATGCCCCGAAAACAGAGATCTTGAGATGACTCCGGACATGTAAAAAGTATGACCAGTCAATCAATTACTAGACATAAGGCATGACTGTAGCATCAAAACCTAATTCTCCACCAGCAACTTGCATGCAAAAAGAGAAAAAGGAAGGGAAGACAGGCCAAACCTTTACTGACGACAGTAATGAAAGACAGTACTGCAGCTGAAGCGACGAGCAAGAGCAACATCCTGACCTTCCTTCTCCCGGCAAAGTTGCAGATCCTCGGCAAGATCCTCTCCCTTTCTCTTGGTCCGGAAAGGGATATTTTCGAAGGTTTGCGGAATAAGTAGGGCGGCGATTGAGTCGACAAAAGGGCACCGCTGGGTTGCTGTACTGATCCATAACTCCCTGATCGTAGACCCAATGACGCTCCGGTCATTGTCCCTCCCAACCCACTGGCGGTCCTCTCATCTCCCTTCCCCTTCACAGAACCCACTCATCCGGCCTATAATGAATCAAGACAACCACAAAAGAATGAATTCGAGATCTGTAAATCCCCGCTCCCCTGCAATTGACCAACCTAAATCCACCAAACGCTACAAGATCTACTTGATTTTACACAAAAATCCGAGAGCTCTCGCTCGAATCTAGAACGCAGAAAGACTTTGTTTCAAGAGAGATCAAATTTCTTACAGATCGATCTTCCTCGTCATCAACCACGGCTTCGCAAACGATAGCGCGAATCGGAAGAAATCAAGGAAGACGATCCGCAGGGGCGGTGGGTATCAGGGTTTCCGCTGCGGGATCTCCGATCGAAACCCTGATGTCCGTCTTCGAGCGCCGGGCTCGAAGTGGTTAATAATACGCGAGAAGGAAGACGGAGGAGGAAGCGAGAACGGATTAATTATTAATTATGCCTACTAATTGGGTTCCAAGAAGAGTTAATCATCGGATTACAAGCTAATTTTCCATCAAAATAACTACTTTAGCTACCCGTCGAAACTTTACTCGAGCGTCTACCTGACGAACCCAACCCTCGGTGGCGTGGGTCCCCGTGCCCCGCACTAATGTGCAGCGAGAGACAGACCTTCGTTTCGACGTGAGGTCAGGAGTTCCCCGTTTCGTCGCTGCGTTCGCCGTTACGGCAATCCGTTACAGAAAGTGGCTGCAAGATAGTCCGTTACGTCCTGGAGCTGTTGTCCGGCTGACGCTTCTGTGACGAAGGGAACCGTTTGCATAGCCTCTATCACCGTTCGACTTGCTTAACGATACGTGCAAACACGAATATCGAGCACGATGGACGGTGATCGAGGCCTTCGTCTGCAACTTTCGGTACTCTGTTTGAGATCTCAGTCAGAAACACGTCCGTTGGTTTCAATGATAACATGACAGGATCTAATTCAATTCATTTATTCTTCTTCTTTTATTTCACAATTTTATAAGAAAATAAAAGGAAAAAAGGGCGACAAATAAAGAAGAGATCAATGCGACAGAGTGAATCAGATCATAAGCTATTAAATTCTTGCATTACCAAGAAACGTGAATTGCCCCATTAGTCGATGTATTCGGATACGAATTAATTGTGTCAATTTAATTTGACGGGGGTAGATGAGAAATTAGTTTTAATAATGCATAATTTAGTAGTACGTCCTTTGCTAGCTGTCCATAGGCACAACAGAACCAACGTAGAACTTCAAAGCCGATATGGTGGATCACGTTAAAATGATGCCTTGGACTTAGATAACATGATCATCCTCCCATGTTGTACAAGGTCGTGCGAGGTGCACCACACGATATGAAGTTGCTCTTGAAAAGTTTGGGATAATGTCATCGAGTATGAAGTTGTTTCGTAAAGCTCAGGATGGTGTTGGTAGACACCGATCCGTGCAAATTAACCGGTGTCTGCACGAAATATATGGGCTGATCGTTTAAGGGGTCGACAGTCATTAACGAACTAGGTACGATCGACCCTTATATGCAAGTATAAAAACGTACCACTTAGCCAACGTCGAGGAGACTTTTTGCATATTCAACTCACTCTCATTACACTCAAGACTAACTTGAATTTCGGAAGGATCGAGTCGGAAAATCCCTCACCCGATCTCGACCTGTGTGCAAGGTTTGATGACGAAGAACATACAATAAGATTGATAGCTCAACCCGACTCGACACTCATTTTAGCTACCCAAGTCTCCATATCCGGGATTGAACCAAATAGTACCGACTCCTTGACCGACGGCAACCGATGTGAACAATATAATTTTAAATGCCAAAGATATTAAGAATGCTTTAGATTCATAATATGATTAGAAAGACGACTTCCTATCTGACTTGTATTGGCATATCACAGTCGGGATCAGGGAATCACTCACGTCGAAATTTGTGGTTTTGAATTATATAAATATCTTCCCATTGAATTGTTCTTTGCTTTGCAACCTCTATCAATTTGCATATTTGTCCGGTCGTTACCTACAAAGGCGACAAGACGTCACAGGACGTACGATGTGGGACAGCGTGGGATGCATAAGGTGGGGGGATTCAGACACCGGCATTGACTGGGCTAAAGAAGATAAGTCTTTATTTTTTTTAATCTGGAAACATACCCTGCGAAATGGACAGAGCACCATTCTCTGCTTGTGTTTTCTTAGGAGCTGTGCTCTGACCAATGGAGCTTGTCAATGCAAACTGTAGCCCTCTTCTTTGACCGGTGAGTGATGACAGTCTCCACAGGGCATTGGACGTACGTTGCTGCTGCTATGTTCGATCACACAGTCTTCTTGGCTCTCTTTCTGCTATGTACATTTGACATAATAGAATAGTGAAGGCTGCAGGGAATGCGGCCTCACCAAACCACACGGCAGAAGTGCGATAGATAGAACACAGAGTCAAAGTTTGCATTGGCTGTGGTTGCGTCAGTAGAGACAAGGAGGAGAATGGCAGAGGGATGCAAGAGTTAGGTACAATCCGACACACGTTACGTGTAATATCTGACCACCAAACCTCATTCTAAGTCCTTTGAGGAGAATATAGTGTGTCCAGTCCGGCCTTGCATGGTTGCAACTTTTATGTTGTACACCTGTTTGCATATGTCAGGTACGTAATCTATGCGTTGCATCGTTGGATTCGATGCATATTGACAAGGATAGACACATGAATTCTTTATATTCTGATTGGAGGCTGAAGTATTATTGTGTGACACAATTTAATCGGTTTTTGCTAATATATTCAAAGAAATGGAATATGAAGATTTGGAAAGCACAAACCAAGTGCTAAAATTACATATATAAAACATGACAAATTTAAATTTCTTTTTACAGAAATGGCAGCAAGCGCAACTACAACATCAAATTGGCTCTCACCAAAACAAATCTATGGAAATTTCCACAAAAAAAAAAACACCCTTTAAATAAAGAAAACTCATCATTTGAACGTTTCCTATATATATATATATATATATATATGTGTGTGTGTGTGTGTGTGTGTGAAGGTAACGAAACGGAGAATTTTAGCGTCCCTCTAAGATGACGTCGGATCCGGAGAGCGACGTCGAACAGGAAAGCGAGTGCCGCAGCTCCTCGAACGTGAGATGGCGGTGCGGCTGCCGTTGGGCCCCTGCGGAGGCAAACGCCTTGTCGGACCGCATCGCCGGCTTCAGTCTGGCGTCCAGCAGCAAGGACGTCGAGTCGTCCCCGCCGTCAGCCGTTTCGTCCTCGCCGGCTTCGAACATCCGCACCACTTGTCTCATCGTGGGCCGCGCAGCCGCGGCGATGCGCGTGCACGCCAGCCCCACCGCCACGACCCGCGCCGCCTCCCCCTCGTCGTACCCCTCCGACGCCCTCACCCTCCGGTCCACCACAGCCGCCTCCCCGCCCATCGCGGCGGCCTGCCTCGCCCAGGCCACCAGCGGCGGCAGCCCCTCCTCTGCTGCCCGCCGCCATCTCGCCACCTCCAGCGCCAGCACTCCGAAGGCGTACACGTCCGTCGCCGTCGTCGCCCGGCCGGTCCGCACCACCTCCGGCGCAAGGTAACCCGCCGAACCCACCACCCGGGTGGTCCCCAGCGCCCGCCCCCGCTGGTGGGCCCGCGCCAGGCCGAAGTCCCCTAAACGGCCGGTCATCGACCCGTCCAGCATCACGTTACTTGCCTTGATGTCGCGGTGGAGCACCACCGCCTCGCCCCAACCCTCGTGCAGGTATAGTGCCGCCGCCGCCACTTCCCGGAGGATCCTCACACTCGATCCCCAATCCAGCGGCTGCCCGGCGCCGAAGATCCATTGGTCCAGGCTCCCGTTCTCCATGTAGTCGTACACCAGGATCATCGCGTCGCCGCCACCGGCAGCGGCCGTTCGTCGTGCCCGGCACCATCCGCGGAGGCCGACCAGGTTCCGGTGCTTCAGCCGGCCGAGGGTCGAGACCTCCGCTGCGAAATGCTTCGCCTCCTCCTCGTTGGTCTGAGAGAAGAGCTTCACGGCCACCTGTACGCCGCCGAGAACTCCTTTGTAGACCCTCCCATTGCCGCCGCGGCCGATTAGGTTGCCGTTGGAGAAACCCTCCGTGGCGGTGACGATCTCCTGGTAAGCAATTCGATGCGGCCAATACTCGGATTCCCAGTCCTCGATCGTCTCCTCGCATACCTCTTCCGTGCTTCGTTTCCTACTTCTCCTGCGACTGATCGCCATCCATATCCCCAAGATCGAGAGCAGAACGACGATCGCAGCCACGTAGAGGCCGATGACGAGGTGCCTTCTCGAATTCGCATCGGATTCGGTCGCCGGCGGGATGAAATTGGGGAGATCGGCGGTGATTAGGCCGTCTGCGGCGGAGAAGTTGGAGTTGCTGAAGCTCCAGCCGAGGACGCGGTGGTGCTCCACCAATCGCCCGGTGGAGGCGCAGAACCCGACGTACATCTTGTCGAGGAAGAGGTCGGAGAGGTCGATCTCAACGGAGAGGAGGGGGCGGCGCGGCTTCCGACCGAACGAGACCGGGGCCATGGTGACATTGAGCCGGCCGCCTGCGTAGTCGACCCAAGCCTGGTAGTTGGTCCCGTCGTTCAGGGTGAGTCCGACGAAGGAGGCAGCGGCACCGCCCTCGTCGTCGGGCCAGTAACCGGCTGGGGCGGCGGCGACGGAGGTAAGGGAGTTGCGGTCGACGCCGACGTGGTTGGCGTTGATGTCGTTGAACTCCTCGTTCTGGAAGACGTCGAACTCGACGGCGAGTACGCGGTCGGAGGGGTCGCCGTCGGTGGAGAGGTTGAAGAGGCCGAGGTGCTGGGAAGACGTGGCGCCGAGGGTGCCAGGTTCGGGGGCGAAGAGGAAGGCGATGCCGTGACCAGGGAGAGCTTGGGGCACGGGGGCGATGGAGAAGAGGAAGGAGGTAGCGAAGGGCAGCGCCTCGGAGGAGTTGGCGGACTTGGTGGTGACGGGGGAGGGTAGAAGGGCGCGACCGAGGGAGAAGGTGTCGTTGGCGGTGAGGGAGAGGTAGCGGCTGCGGTGGCGACGTTGGGCGGGGGCGGCGGAGGAGGGGAAGGGCTCGAGGGTGGCGTTGGCGTAGAGGTCGAGGTCGGAGGCCTCGAAGCCGTTGAAGACGAGATCGATGGCGGCGGAGGGGGTGAAGTGGAAGATGACCATGAGGAGCGGGACGAGGAGACGTTGGGGCAGTGTTGGTTTGGCTTTCCTGCGCCACTTCGACATGATCAGCAGAGAGAGGTGAGCTGGAAGGAGTGACCTCTGTCAAGCTCAGCAAGCAAATCATCCTCCTCTATTTCATCACCAGCGCGGTGGTCAAATTGACCACTGAGAAGCGGTAATGGAACGCATGAAATGTCGGTTTCGCCCTCGGAGGCTGCCACTTGTTGAATCATCGAATAGGAAGACGATAAGAGTCTTCGCGTTGGGTGGCTGCGGATCAATCCCTTCCTTACCACGTACGACCGTACTCTTCTTCGTCTTCCTCTTCACATTACTCTAATGATGACTTACAAAAGAAAAAATATGTTAGAAAAAACATCTCACTCGAAATCCATAAACAAATATTTCAAAAAATACTTAATAATCAATATAAATTATAAACAGACTCTGTGGACCCCAACTTTTTATGTTATCTATCACACGAGTGGAACATGAGATTGTCAGCGGCACACGGGCCTTTGCCCAAGTCGACGGCCCATAGTAGTACGGTAGGTTTCGCCCTAATTGCAGGGAACCGTCGGAAGATTAATTTCAACTTCGTCCCAAGAGGCTTCAACGTGCGATGCCCAGCATACACTACAAAACACATTGGAGGAGACGACTTGCTTGCTTTCTATTTATGTCCTATCGTTGGACCCTCGGAATATCCAAACATGAATCATGTACAGTCTTTTAGTGAGCATCATCAACCTGTTTACACAATGCTTGGTGGTCGCAATTGACTGTTGTTGGAACTTCTTCTGTTGTCATGTTGTGAGACATACAGAATCCTTGGGTTCTGAAGCTGAAGCTGAAGATGAAGAAAGGCTGCAGATTAGAGCATGGCGTGGAATCATCTTCAGCAAAAGGTTGTGTCGAATCATTCATTTCAACTCTTTGGATACTTTCTGACGGATGTGTCATTTTTTGACGGATTATAATTCTTAGCATTCTTTTCTTTCTTGCATTTTCGTTTTATTTTATTTTATATCATTTTTTTTGTTAAACAAATGATAATTTAGTTGAATGCGTATTAGGGTTTCCATCATCCAAATAGTATCATCATGTGCTCATAGCGAAGTCACCGAGAAGGTATGAGTCGACCCACCCACCCAACCTTTCTCGTGCGACAAAGCCATGGGCTCCACGTAGGATGGCGAAGTCGGCTGGAGGAAGCTGCCAACCTTATCGCCCATGTAAAACGTGGACGCTGGTATAGCCTTCCCATTGATGTGATGGCATAAGGCAGGCAACTTCGTGATAAGATATATTTTGGATCCACGATACGTCACGATCGATGCGACGTAGCGCTACGGTTAGGAGCACCCCCATGCGTCGAGCCAGTATCAAGGCGTGGCTCGATACGTCCCGTCCCGGAAAGCTCGGGATGACGCCACATGGCGTTGTTCCGCGCATCTCGGAACAACGGCCGCACAAAGGTATCGTCTCATCTCCCGAGGATCGGTTGCTACGCCCGCATACAACCGACCTGCATACAGTAACATAAAAGCACCTGGTCGGTATCCGACCGGGGGAAAAAAAAGAAAAACTCTAACCCGCCACTGACTTGATTGTTGAAGGGACCAAAGTCGTGAAACATCCGACGACGATCTTTTTTACAGGAAAGCTATCTTTGCAGGCTAGAAGGCGTTGATCAGACCCTCGCTGCTGACGCTCAAAATAGTGTTCGATCGATCTCGAAACCCAGCTCAATCGATCGAGACTCCCGACATTACCCTGTGGACCAGGCAGTGGTGACTCAATCAGCCACGGCACATCAATCTATCAATACTTTGTGTTCTGACTTCGATGAGTCACGAGTTGCCGAGTTTTTGCTGTTCCAGCCACAGCCTCTTGCTGTCCTTCCAAATGAGACAGCAAGAGCAGCAGCTCTCTCTCTCTCTTCTTGTGGGACGTAGTTTCCATCCCAAATCTTGAACTGTGCTTATCCACCGCCAAACCCATGAGCAAATCAATGATTCCTCCTCCTTCTCTCTTTCTCTCGCTCTCGGGGACATGGTGCAGCCATGGTTTTCTCCTCCAGCTACTGCCCATGGTATATGATTGGATGCCGACACCAGACAGACGTGGGAGATCCACCATTTTCCACGAGAAGCACCCTCCCTCGTGGGTTTGGTGGTGGTGGTGGAAGTGGGTCTTGGTCACTGGCACCAGCCCCACGATGACAACCACTTGGAGACATCGACGATGGGCACTCTCAACTGCATTTTCTGCTCCTTTTCTTTTTTTATCTCAGCCCCATTGATGAAGGTAATAATGACGACATGACGTTCTACGACATCAGTCATGACTAGACGACACTTTGCCTGAAAGAGGGCAATAATGCCGACATGATGGGCGCTGACGTCACCCGCTCTCGGACGAAGACTCCATCGTTGTCTGACCCAACGTGCTCGACCGAGGCAGAGGAGAACGACCACCGAGGCACGCCCATACCCTGCGGTAGTTCGGTTCCCCACGCAACGTCAATGGCGATGTCAGACGCCATCAGAGGTACGATCCTGTCCCCCGCAGGCAGGCACGTCAGGTAACACTAAATTGCCCTATAAATACACCCGAGTTCTAAACGATAAAAGGGGGGGCACCTCTTCACTAGAAAAAACTCCTTCCACATCATCTAATTTGATCGTCGGAGGGGTCGGGCCGAGCTTCTGACCTGACCTGTGTGCAGGTACAAGGGCGAGGTTGCATCTTCCCAGTGCCGCGGAAAAGCTTTACTCCCCATGCAACGCTCCTGCCTGGACCATCGTAACTGACCACCCCGGCTATCCCGAGGAACGCCGCGTAAGATCTCCGTGCATTCGGACCCGAACCAAGCCGCGTCGGCCCCGAGGCCACGGCATAAAGTTGTTTACACTAACACCCATTATCGAGGATGACAACATTGACGATGACAACCCCTTGGAGACATCCACCAATAGTTCTGCCTCATGATCCAAATTTGTTCTCTAGCGTTGTTTTGTTTTGTTGCTGGTAGATATGCTGCTTGTGATAACAGTGATGAATCGACTATAGACACATTCTGATCAGGTCACTTCACCTAATCCTTCTTCCTTCTACTAGTCGACGAAGACTTGATGAGGTTTCAGATCATCTACTTGTCCGCATCATCCTCCAAAATATCTGTACATATATATATATATATATATATATATATATATATATATATATATATATATATATATATATATATATATGTTTTGTTGCAGTTCGCCTGTCTAATTGAGCCACCAAACAGATACGGTTACGATGCCGATGGTTACTGAAGTGGGACCCAGTCAAAAGAGTGGGTACCCATCACTCTGGCTGGTGGTTTTGTCGCAACGAGGGAGTTACGCCCGCAGGGGCTAACTGAGAGAGAGATAAGAAGGTCCGAGTTGGTCAATAATTAAGGCAGAGACGCCGGTGCCTGACGTGGATCCGCGCTGTGTTCAACCCCCCTCACCGAAATCCACACGGGCCCGCCGGACCTGTGCACCCAATCGTTGTCCGCCTCGTGGGCGGCCAAGCTGTCCCCACCTTTCCGCTCGCGGCGGCCCGTTCATCCACGTTGTCGCTGTGGGCTCCGCCCCCGACCCCGCCCGACGATTCGCCTAGTATTTAAGGTGGGCTGTCCAAAGGGGCAAAAGCTCGGCGGGGGTAAGGGTGTGAATGAGCACGGAGGCCATGGATGGTCGGATGAGCCTGTTTGACACGGTGTTCAGTTTTTTGGAGGAAGGAGGAGGAGTCGGTGGTGGCGGTGGGAGCGCGGAAGGGGGCTGTCATGATGGTGGTGATGCCTTAGACAGCGGCGACGACGAGGAGGGGACGAGCCACAGCACCGCGGAGAAGAAGGCCTTCTGGGAGTCGCAGCAACAGCTTCTTCGGGTAAGTAATTGCTGCCATAATTTTGGCTATTCCTTTCGCGCATGTAAATGTTTGATTTGAAAAGATTTGTTTATGTATTCCAAAGATTGGTTTATGAAAGGCATTCCAAAGATTTTGTATCCGCAATATAGATGTCGAAAGAAATAGTCGATGATGATTTAGCAACGAGTTAATCGCGCCTTGTTTTCCGTCCTGATCGGATCGGATACAGGAAGCGCTATCTCGGACGAGCTCCACCGAGGCCAAGTTACTGCAGCGCACGAAGGATGCCGTGACCAAGATGCAAGCCGAGGGTGTCGTCTGCACTTGCTCGAATAGCATGGCAAAGGAGTGCCGCAACTGCGCGCTAGCCTACATCACACGACAGCTTCACCAGCTGGGCTACAACAGCGCCTTGTGCAAGTCCAAATGGACGAGGTCGCCGGACATCCCTTCAGGTAAAAGCTGGACATCCTTCGACCACGTTGCGCCCTTTGTCCTCACTCACGTCTCTTTCCATCAAGTTGCAGAATATCTGCTCGAGTTAATCACCTCTCAAGTCTGATGTTGCTCCGTTCGATGTTTACAGGCGAACACAGCTACGTCGACGTGGTGATGGAAACGAAGGGCGGCAAGAAAGGCCCCGTCAGGCTGGTCGTCGAGTTAAACTTCCGGGCGGAGTTTGAGATGGCAAGAGGCAGCCAGGAGTACAACCGCCTGGTGAGCTTCCTGCCGGAGGTTTTCGTGGGAAAGTCGGAGAAGCTGCGGGGTGTCCTCAAGATCGTGTGCGCGGCGGCGAAGAAGTGCATGAAGGAGAACAAGATGCACATGGCGCCGTGGCGGAAGCACAAGTACATGCAGTCCAAGTGGCTGGGCACGCCAGAGAGGGCAGGCCCGAGGGTGATGTCCTTCCCGCCCACGGTGTCGGAGCGGCAGCCCAAGCGCAAGGCCTCCATGTTGACGTTCGACTTGCACCTCACCGCCGTTAGAGTGGTGTGACCGGCAAATTTAGGGGTGGGTGTTTCTGAGCTTGAGCCGTGCACCTCCGCTTCAGTTTTGTCATGCCCGCTTGAGTACAGCGCATCGATCTTGGAGCTATCAGTCAATAGAGGACCGAATCAGTGATGGGAGACTACCCACATAAGTATTATATATATATACATATATATGTATATATATACATATATATATATATATATTCCCTTGTGATGTGTTATTGTACGATGTGAGCTACCTTGTGGACCATTGAACTCGATCGAGCTTGGAAAATTTTCTATGTACCATCGTTTAACTCGATTGTTTTGTTGTTATGTTGATCATTTATTTTCTATGGACAAATTTACTGCAGTGAGCTGTCATCCTTTATAAACATTGTAACTCGAAGAGGCATATGAACGAACACCTTTTGGAACACCACACAAAAGAAGCCACTAGTCCAATGATGTCTAACGAACGGTGCATGAACAACATACTAAGAGTGGCAATGTAAATTCTTCGATGGAGATTTCATCGTCTCTTTTTCCATAAATCTCAAGTATAATAATATCCATATCCATATATATATACACATGGCCATAAATTCCCAGGAAACGTCGGCTGTGGATATCACGAATGGCCCAGTCGTCGACGAACTCCATTGTTTGACGTGTGCATGTGGATATCATGGACGACGCCACATGGTTGAGCGGAAAAAGAAGAAGCATTTGGAGAATGAGAGCGAATCAGAAACCAAATGATATTACTTGAGAATCCGTCACAACTGTAGCAAATTACTAGCAGTAATCATCACATCACCAGCTACCGACAGATCCAATGCATCACCAAGTAAATCAATTCAAAACCTTGTCCTGCATAATCTCAGAGATCGATAGATAGCAGTGTTAATACCGTCACAATGAAATCTTCGTCCGTCATCTCCTCTCCAGGAATCCGGTCATCTGCAAAATGGAGTTCCTGACCCGACGCAGGTCCCTTCCTTTGAGGGTCCTGCCTTTGCCGACGCGCACCGAGAACTCCATCCTATCTGCCGCCCGCCTAGCGATGATGACGTGCGGTGGGATCCTACCGCCGTCGTCGTCGTCGTCCTCCCCATCACCGCTGTCATCGTTGTTGGAGGTGCGACGACGGCGTGCGTACGCGGACTTCGAAGGGATCTTAATGGGGTCGGATGCCTTCCCTCGATCTCCATCCGCCGAGCAACACGTCTCGGTCATGGCTTCCTCCTTCTGCTCATGTTCCGGCCACAAGATGTCGGCCTCCTGCAACTCTTCTTCCATCATCGTCTCCCGAGACACCAAGGCCATGAAGCAGCAGCCATGGGAGATTTATGGAGGTTTAAAGGTGGGGTTGGAGACTTTGGGCGACTTCATGAACACACTTCCATCTCAGAATGGTGTCATCGCTCGCCATAACCCGAGTTTAGATCGTCAAGTCAACCTCCACTGAGCTGCTGCCATGTGTGATCTCCCAGAGAGAGCTTTGAATACTTTGATGAGAATGTTGTTTGCCATCCCATCAAGGAAGAACATGCAATTTTCTTTTTTGGTGATACACTATCGATGTTATGTTGACATATGCAGTGATGATGATGATATTTATATGACTTGCAATTATTGCATGGAATCACCCAAACTCAGAAGATAATAGAGATATCATCACTACATCTCTCTCTCTCTCTCTCTCTCTCTATGTATATATATATATATATATATATATATATATGAAATAATCTAATGGATAGATTGGCATGGTCATTAATTTGTAGGTGTGTCGATCATAGCCTTCTGCATATGCCGGTCAAACCATCCAAATCCAGGAACACAAAACGATGTACTGCATATCCTACGAATAGTTTGGAAACGAAAGAATGTGAGGATAAGAATATGATCGGATATGGAAGATAATTAAAGGTTTGGAATGACAGGAGGGATCGAAAAGGACAGCACTTCGTTGACCGGAATACTTGTCACTCTCGTCTGGTGGTTTTACGTCCACACCGGAATCTGCACTCTGACAAAACGGTGCAAAGACAAGAAAGAAAAAAGCTGCAGGAATGGATGCATGTTGTTTACGCTTCAGTTTGCTGTTCTTCTTCTTCTCCAGCTGTTTCCAGATAACGCGGTGAAGAAGTCGACCCGTACGGCCACATCATATATATGTATATATTATCATCTGCTATTCGTCTAGTTTGGTCTGATTCAGTCGAAGTCAACCCATTTGTTTGTGCGTTTAGATCTTCTTCTTCTTCCACGAGATGCAGACTTTGTTATGTTGCTTGATCGATGCTTCAACTACGCATTCTTTTATGTCACTTGCACAAAGTAAACTTGTAGTTTAGGTCAAGTTTCCTACTTCAGGATGCTCTTCTCGGCCCCTCTTTGATGAATTATAAAAGAGAATCTCCATCACAAACGTACGTGAAGTGACTCTTTAATTATTGGGCATGCATGCCATGACGACTATGAGAATGCTGTAAACTCCGTCAGTGGTGTCCCCAAGTCAAGTCTCCATCTTCCTGATAAGAACAAGCTAGGAGCCAATTGCAGATTGGGGAAGAGCAGAAGCAACCTTCAAAAGACGTGCCTTATTGTACCAGATTCTTCATCAGTAAGAATTGTCTGATGAACATTCCTCTGTGCTCATTTGAACAGCTTGTATCAGATGATACAGTGTAATAACAATGGCGTCCTGCTTGATTGGCTATGAGCTTTTGCTTTCTTTACTGTCGTTTTTTGCTTCCTTTAATGCGGTGGGAAAAATGATAAGAGTCGTGAGAACGCCGGCAGTGAAACTTGCAGATTTGGATGTCTGAAGTCTGATAACACCTCCCAACCTTATCCTTCTTTAGGAGAAGCTGCAGTGATCTCCAATTTCAGTGACCTTCTTCTCTTTTCATGGAAAATGAAGTTTTGGCATGAAGCGACAGGTAGAACAAATCTTTGGTAAATCATTTGATGCAAAGAGTTAGAGTCTATAACGAGTTTGACAGACCTCTTCCCATCTTGGAACTCTAGTTTGCAAGCAAAATTTAGTGCCCATTTGAATCTTAAAGCTTCTTCCTCTTCAAATTTATGGATTGAATTGCAACGTCACGAACATCTTGAGATTTGAGTTGCAAATTCCACTAAGCAGAAAGGAAAAACAAAAAAAGGATGCAAACTCTAAAAAGTATGGAAGAAAATGTAGAACAGAGGAAAAATTTGGTGCATTGATGTCTTCTTCACTCTGTTTCCGGTTACAGTAGATTGCAGCAGCACACACCACTCTTCAGGTGTACATTACAAAAGACTGAATCGAAGCTTCTCCCCGCAGCGTTGGTTCTGGTTTCCTCCCGCAGCGCCGCCACTGCAACTCCATCCTCATCCCTCGAGGAAGCCGGTCATCCGGAGCACGGAGTTCCGGACGTGGCTCAGATCCCGGCCCTTGAGCGTCCTCCCCTGCCCCGTGCACAGCGAGAAGGCCGCCTTCCCTACCGTCCTACCGCGGGACGCCAGGACATGCGGCGGCACCAGCTCCGTCTCCCGGTCCTCGTCGACCACTGGCGCGCCCCTGGCCCTCGGGATAGCCACCGGAGCGGACGTCGTCCGAGTCCGAGCGCGCGACGAACTGCTGCACGCTTTATGCGCGTCGCACGGCCGCCGCTCGTCTCCGTCCGGCCACATCACATCCGACTCACACAACTCCTCCATATATCACTTACCCTCAGCTTAATGTTCCATCGTTGGGGCCGGGGTTCTATATAGAAGGGAAGACCATGTGTTCCTCTTAAGTTTGGATGGCCGCAGCAGATGCTCGATACCTTCTTCTCCAACTTAATACGACAAACGACGTCTAAGGAACCGTCGGGTTTGCTGCTCGAACGCAGTCGAAGGAAGAGGCGACGCGTACGTTAACGCAAACACTGGCTCGGCGACACGAGGCAAGAAAATGGAGGGAAGGCCAGCGACAGGAGAACGAAGATTGATGTTACTGTGAAGGAAGGCCAGAGTCCAGTAGAAGGGTTGCAATGCGAGCGTTGTTGACGATGAGCTGAGAACCAGTTGGAGTTGAGCTGGCACGAGGCCGATCGACAAATATTTATGATTGGAATACCTGTGTGTTATGGATGAACAAATGGGTGATATAAACTATAGGACGTGAAGTCATGGCCACGTTCATGGACGGTGGAGGACAGACAGGATATGTATGTGTCACGCCAACGCACACGAGGCGGAGGCGCTGCCACGAACAAAATTTTCCGGCGAAGCTTCAGCCTCTCGATCGGATCGAAGCATCGGCAATTGTATTGAGGTGTCGAGTACGATAAAAGATAGAAATAGACATTGTTGTGGGAAACAACTTTGAGCCGTGGCCTCGGGGCCGACGCAGCTCGGTTCGGGTCCGGATGACGGGATCTCCCCGGGGCGCTCCTCGAGCCCGCTGAGGTGGTCAGGTGCGGTGTCCGATCGGGACGGTGTAGCAGTCTCCTCCGGGCAGGAACTCCTCGCCTACGCGTCCAGAGGGGACCTTCAGCTTTGCAACTGCACAAAGGTCGAGCCGAGGCTCTCGGCCCGACCCCTCCGACGATCAAGTTAGCTGATGTGGAGGGGGTTTCAAATGAAGAAGGATTTTTGTGTGTCTCTCCTCTTCCCTCTTTCTAATGAACGAGAGGGTATTTATAGGGAAGCATACTGCTTCCTGAGCTGCCCGCTTACAGGGGGCAGGCTGGTAGCGTTTGACTTTGTGTTGGCGTGGCGTGAAGAATTGAGCTTTGGCAGGATGTTAATGCGCCTCGGTCGACGTTCCGGTCTGCATTGACCAGGTGCTGTTGCGTGAGGCATCATCTGACGTCAGCCGAGTCTTATCATAATTACTATCCTCATCATAAAACTAATATCCTGATATTTTTTTATATTTTAATAATTCATAATTTGAGGAGAAATTATATATTTAAATAATTAATTTAATTAAGTAATTTGAGTGTATAATCAGAATCTGTTGCTTGGCCATTGTTTCAGCCTCCTCTGTTCTGTTCCACAGAAGCCGTTGGGAGCCGTTCCACAATAACCGTCCAAGTAGTCGGAAGCGTTCCCCTTTTCCCACTATTGCCTTTCCTCCTCGGATGCCTCCTTCGACGCGCTCCCAAAGTCGCAGCAGGGGGCTGCTCTCAGACCCTCCTCGAAGCAGGAGACGATCGCTGCTCCCGATCGTTGCTCTTGGACTCTCCCCGCGACCCACTTCCGGAGCCGAAGCAGGAGCAGGAGCCGGAGCCCTCCCCGATCGCTACGATCTCCCCTTCATGACCTGCGCAATAGATCTGGTTAGTCCTCCGACGATGCTGATCTGATCTGTCGCCTCTGTGATCGTTACCCTCTCCATTGGTAATCTGATCAATCATCCACCTTGTTGATCTGAACAATCCTCCGGCAATCTGCAGTAGATCGTTTCCCTCTCCGGTAATCTGATCTGATCAGTCCTTCATCCTTTCCCTGCAAAGACTCCTCCACTCGTATGTACTTTGCACCGGGAGACCAGGGAGGAAACTCTAGCCTCGACCCGCCTGCCCACCACCAACCACCATCGCTAAAACACCACCACCGTGACTAGGCAATTACCGGCGATGTCATCATCTCCCTCGGTAGCGGCCCAAACACTGCCACCGAGATCCCTATTATTCAACGGTGACTCCTTGCTGATTTGCTGCCTCGTCGGTGCATCGACGATTCTTCCTCCTCCCTACATCAACAACTTAGTTTATTAATTTTTTTTTAATATAATTTGTTAGGCTATATTATGACTACCTCAATTGTCTATTCAAAAATATTCAAATATTAGAAGAACCAATCCTAATGGTAAATCTTAATCATAAATTATGATTACATTAAAATCATCTGATTCTATAAATCATTCTAAGTCTTATTTACTGATTATATAGCACCACTAATTTCTGCATACACTGCTATAATAAAAACATAATTCAAGTTATAAATCATCTTCACAAATTACTATTGCATTCGCATACTAGGTCTTTTATCTATCTTGACGAAAATAATTGATAAAAAAAGTACTATTATTATATATATATAAATTTTAAATATTATTATAGATTACTTAGTTTTAATATGTCTTGAGTGATTAAGAAGTTATTATTGATACTCTCAATGACTTAGAAGTTTACTATAAAAAATTGATGGTAACAATTTGAGCATATGACTTACTGATGTCATTTGAAAATCTATATGATAAGTTATTAATAAAACATATCTAAAATGTAAATAGAGGATGACAAGATGAACTATTACAACTAAAATATCTAAAAGAAAGAGTAATCAAAGTAAAATCTTCAACAAAGAACTAAACAAGATCTCTCCGGCATCTACTAACTATATGATAAAATTAGATACACAACTTTTCCTAAGCCCACTGTCACACCCAACTAATCTCGTACAAACATCATGATTGCTCCAATTGCTCATCCAAGTAAGTAGATTATTGACTCTAGTGCTTTTTATTATATTAGCTTTGATTTGAAAAACTTATCTATCTATAACAACTATGTAGGTAATGAAAATATCATTATTGGTGATGGTAATGAAATCTCTATTGCTCACATTGGTTCTACAATATTTAATTTATACAAATACTTTCACACATGATGATGTTTTGTATGCACATGACATTAGAAGGAATCTCATTTATTTCTCAACTCCGTAAATAAAATAATACTTCTATTAAATTCTTTTTCGACTCATTTTTTATAAAGGGTCTGAATACAAAGACATATTTGGTTTGAGATTAAAATAAAGATAATATCTACAAATGATCATCAGGTTCATAAATTATCTAACTAATCATTGGTACTTTAATTGCTACTTTAATAAATGTGTGGTATCAATGTTTTGATCATCCATCATTCTTAATTTAATAATAGTTAATTTCTCATTAGTCTCTTCCAACCTCCAAATCAAGTAGAATATAAAACTTATTGCGATGCTTATCTTAGTAATAAAAGTCGTAAACTATTTGTTGGAACTTCTTCTATATCAAACTCCAAATTACTTGAAATTATTTACATTGATGTCTAGGGCTCTACTCCAACCACTTCCTTCGATAATTTCAGATTTTATATTATTTTTTAGATTATTTCATAAAATATACATCGTAATATCCTCTCAAATATAAATAGAAGTTACTAAGATCTTTACCCATTTAAAAATGATGGCCAAATTTTTTTTCCAATTTATCATTAAAATGATTTACAATAATGGAGGAAGTAAATACAAAGCTCTAACAACTTACCTCATCCTGTGGTATATAACATCTCAAGTCATCACTACACATCTCAACTAGTTGGCTAAATCGAATAAAAGCATTGACATACAGTTGAAATTGGTTTTACCCTTTTACACCAAACTTTTATACTACTAATCTTTTGGTTAGTAGCCTTTTAAATTATAATCCATCTGATAAGATGAATACTCACTCCAATCTTATAATACTAATCGCTATTTCATAAAATCTCAAACATTTAGAAACTTAAAGTATTTAATTGTTTATGTTATCTTTAGCTATGCCTTTATACGTCATATAAGTTAACACTAAGATCCAAACCTTGCATCTTTATTAGGTATTCATTTGAATATTATTTTTGTTGAGTCTACCTTTTCCTATCGAAATCCTGCTCTTTCAGCAATGTGAACAACTACAACAATAAGAAATCATTGGGTTCATATGAGTATATCTCAAACCCATTCAAACATATCTCTCACAACATCAACCAATAGCTCTCCTCTAGATATATACTTCTTTATCACTCCAGTTCAACAACACCTCACCCCTTCTATATCAAACTCCAAATTACTTGAAATTATTTACATTAATGTTTAGGGCCCTGCCCCAACCACTTCTTTTGATAATTTTAGATTATTTCATAAAACATATATCGTAATATCCTCTCAAACATAAATGGAAGTTACTAAGATCTTTACCAATTTAAGAATGATGGCTAAATTTTTTTTTTCCAGTTTATCATTAAAATAATTTACAATAACGGAGGAAGTAAATACCAAGCGCATCAACTAGATTAAATACGTGTCACTAACTCTCTATCAATTCTTATACCTCCAATACAACTCAATAATATTATCGAATTTGAATATCACATGACTATACACTTTAGAAATGATATATTCAAATCATGTTAAATCTTTAACTTGCATGCTACCACAAGCTCTCTAACTAAACCTACTGAACCTATAACAATTACTCAAACTCAAAAATCTCCACACTAGTATAAAGCAATGTATGAAGCCATATTGATCCTTGTATCATCTTACTGCACACAAAATATCATCGGTTGTAAGTGGATCTTTCGAATTAAGCGAAACCTAAATAGATCTATTGCTAAATACAAAGCACATCTAGTAGCAAAAGGGTTTTACTAATGACTATGTGTTGATTTTCCATAAACATCCAATTTAATTATTAAACCAATGATAAACCAACTTATCCTAAGTTTGACTATCACTCAATGCTAGTATATATGTTAGTCAGATGTTAACAATACTTTTTTATAGGGACCTTAGCTTAATATGTTTTTATGCAACAATCTCTTAGCTTCATCCACCCTTAATATATAATCCATGTTTGTGAACTACAAAAAACTATTTATGGACTTCACTAAGCTCTAAGAGCCTAATATACTGAACTCGACTCATTTTTTACATCAGTCAACTTTATGAACTCCAACTCTAACACCTCTCTATTTTCATGATAATAAAAGGAAAGTACTGTATATCTACTAGTTTATGTTGATGACATTATCATCAGAGGCAACAATCTCATAGAGATCAAGTAATTCTTTAAGTAATTAGCTGATTGATTCTCTATCAAAAATCTAAAAACCTTAAGCTATTAGAAACAATATTCATATTTTTTGAACTTTTTCAAGTACATTTAAGATTTATTATTAAAGATGAATATACATAATGCCAAAGAAGTCACCACCCCACTCTCTACCTTTAAATCACTTAAATTATATGATGGCAGCCATATTATAGATCACATATAGTATCGACAAGTATTTAGTTTCTTACAGTGTTTTCCTCTTATTCGTTCAAACATCTCATTTGTAGTCAATAAATTATTACAATTTAAGCATTGACCCTTCATTATATATTAGTCTATACTAAACTATATATTGTAGTATTTTAAAGAGACTCTTAATTATGATTTTCTCTTCGTAAACATTTATCATTTCATCTCCATGCATTCTCTGATATTGATTGGGTAAGCAATAGAATATCTATGTCAGCATATATTATCTTCTTTGGAGTAAATTTAATCAATTGGAGCTCCAAGAAACAAAATACAGTCATAAAATATACCATTGAAGTTGAATATCGAGTCATCGCCACTACCGCTATAGAACTCAACTAGGTAACCAATCTATTACACAAACTTGGCATCACTTTCCAATCCACTCCTATAACATACTATGATAATATCAATGCCACCTAGTTATGCAATAGTCTGATGTTCCACTCATGCATGAGAACACATTTCCATCGACTTCTACTTAGTTAGAGATCAAGTTGTAAGACAACAACTACGTATTTATCATGTTTATACTTCTGATCAATTAGCATACTCTCTCACAAAACCCAGCATTTGCAGGATATTTTAGTTATATCATTCAAGATTCAGCATTTGCAGGATATTTTAGTTATATCATTCAAGATTGAGATTCTTGATAGAAGCTTAATCTCGTGGGGGCATAATAGAAAATCATAATGGAAACATGGAGTGATTCCTTATCTTCTCAATCAATCTATGATTTAAAGATCAATCATAAATCTGAGTGATTGATTGATTAAGTAATTTGAGTGTATGATTGAGAAAAATTATTTTCTAAAAATCTAGATAAATATGCATCACTCATCCTCACAATATAAATTTGAATGATTGATCTGATTAAATAATAAAATCATTCTTCTTTACAATAACTTCTTCTATTTACATAATAAGGATAGGAGTGCGACCAAAATATTAACTTAAAGATTCTCTTTTACTGTCACAATCAACCAATAAAATTATCGAGGTGTTAGGGAAATAAGGTGAACTATAAAAATAATTTCGCAATGCTACGAACGAAAAGAATCAAATTATATATATTGAACTTGGCTCACTAGTAACTTATGTTTTGAGAATGCAGTAGTGCCGATTCGAAACATAGTATTAGGATTAGGTGAAATGAATCAAAACTAAAGAGAAAAAAGAAAAAAACAAGATGGGCTTGGTAGCCAAGGTCACGTTAGACTAAATGAATAAAAAAAAATCAAGTAAAAATCAAATTACGAGTTTGAGTAAATGAAGATGAGTCGTACTAAAAAATATATACGAATAAGTGAACCATCTCATAACGTCAGCTATGACTAATTTAACTTAAGCTCATCATTGTTTGATTTCTAACATTGACGACTATAATCTTTTCGAATTATTTGAATCTTTGTATAGGGGGATTATTACCTTTTTGTTTCTCAAATCCTTGATGACATCTCTTTTGCATGTCATTTCATCGATCTTAATTTGTTATAAGATTTTATAAGATCTCTAAGATATCTTTAGATCCAAATAAGACTTTTGTTTGAATATTTAAATTTTTACATCACTTCCCAGTGAGACGAGCAATTTGCATTTGAATACTACTAACCATTTCAAAAGTGGTTCTTTTACCAATTTGATAAGAGAAAATGAATGAAAGAAAGTCATGTGGCAGTGATGGTGGGAGTCCAAAGGAGACAAATACTAACCTCATATATGATCATCATTAAGCTCATCTAACACTGCATAAATTAGGAGTCCAAAGAAAAACTTGAAATCGTAGTTTGACCTATCCTTACAAATTAGGAGATCATATTTGGAAATATTCATCAATCAAATAGGGAGTGAAAAAGAACCTAAGAATAGTTTCATAATCTTAAAGGAGTCAAGTGGCATATATTAAATTCGACCCATAACTTCACCAAATTTTGTAGACTTAAATCTGACACTTAGCCTCTGCACGCAGTGCAGAAGATCATACAACTAACATCAGGAAATCATGAAAATGCTTTTGAACACAAGAATCATCAATATCCAATTTGATGGATTTCATGTCAAAATGCTTATTAGATGATCAAATCTTGATCACCAATAAGAGCCGTAAAACAGGCGTGCATTAGGGTAGCGTTCAACGCGGCATATTCAATACCAGCTTTAAGGAAAATTAGGACGCACAAATATTACTCTCGGCAAAAGCATTTTGCTTTACCTGCGGTCTTGTGATCGAAACTTGAGTTGAAGAACAAGCCATCAATAGAAACTTCCAGTACAAGTTCGAGTACCTGTAATTGGAACCGTACCATGAAACCTGTAATCTCTTCCTGCAATCTTGTGAGAAATCAATTGGAACTGTATCAGAACTAATACCGGATGTAAATGGTATGGATGAGTGAGTAGGTCTGGCATCACCACGATCCTCACTTCCATCAGGTTTCAGCATATGCTTTGCACCTGCACTCAATTTATCAGGTATGCCGGCGTTAGATCCTGTGACAGTGCCTAGTTCATCATTTTTCACCATTCATTATTGGAAATCCGGAACCATATTGCTTACCATTCTCAAAAGCAGGGAATTCCGAAGGTTCCGAGCAATATGGTAGGCATCCGAGCAGCTGTTCTCTCCTTGGGCTTGTTGGACAGTTTGCCTCCAGTTGCACTGCACTTCGAGGTTTCTTGACGGCTCCCATGATTCTATCGTCTTCGATTGGAGCCCTTTTGTAAGCGTTGCTGTTACAATTCACATCTTCCGGGTGATGAAACATAAAAATACAAAAAAATAAAAAGAAACATAGATTCGGTCCGATTCTCGTACTTGGTCTTATTTTGATAGGTAATGCCGACTGTCGAAGTTAATCGGCTTGCTTGATGATGCGGAATGAATGAGGAACGAAGGGAATTCAGGGAGTGAGAAGTACCCTTACTATAAGCAGGATGAGTGATATCGGTGGTGGAAAACGTGGATGGCTGTATCATCGGTTGTTCTCCGTCTAGCAGCCACTGCTGGAGGCAAGATGAGTGCGGAATCGATGATAATGGTCCGATGAAATCCATGCATTTTGGGCTCGACAATCCTGGATGAGAAGCTGATGATGACATGTTGCTGGAGAGCATCAGGTTATGTCTGTGACGGGTAGAGTTCAGCAGAAAACCAAGACACCTGGTTCCTGAATCCACTGCGGATTTGGGTGAATGGTTCAGCAATCTGTGAGATGTTGAATAGCTGGTACCGTGATATGTGAGGGTTGACATATGACCATTTCTTGAAGTCAGCAGTGATTGATGACCAAGGAAAGTATGATCGTATCGCTTGTCGACTGCAGGGAAATGATATGGATCTGATGGAAGGTCTTGCAACCGTCTTATACAGTCTCTTGAGATCCCAGACGTCGGATGGGTGACACATTCCCTTTGGAGCCTTCTCTCTAAAAGAGCTTTGTCAACCACTATTCTGGATGGGCTGCGTCGAGTGATAATTTCCTTGTCAGTCCATGTCGTTCCATGGTCTGTACATTTGCTGTCTTCACTGCTTCTACCAACTGTGACATTCTTACCCATCAGGCGCATTGTTGATGGAACGGTAGGCTCGATCCTGTACTCCACCAAGCTCTCTTCTGCGTGGAAGCTTTCGCTAGGAGTCCAGTTAAGATCATGGTTTTGTCCATGGTGGAGAGATTGATTTTTATCTCTCGATGATTCATGGTTCTGAACATCCATCCTCTCGGAGCAATGCAACCGGAGATAACCCAGCCCAGATTTCGTTGGCTTTCTAGCAGGATAAAAGTGATGGGAATTCCATCTTCTCTGATCGTTCCGATCTGCCATCGTGCAGCAAAACTTGCCTCTCATGTTTACGTGGTCCATATGACTCTTAGATCCGGTGAGATAAGGAACCTGAAGGCTGTGCTCCGGACCGAGATTTTGCTGCTTAAAGATCTCAGTGGCACCAAACTTCGCATCTGAATGAAACTTGATGAGTTCTTGTGAACTAAGAGGCGAACCAATCGAATCCTCGGATACGCACATACCGTTGTACTTGCAAATGGGATCCAACATTGATCTTGTCGTCTCTGGACATTCATTGATCATTTGATCCGAGGGAGAGATGTCGCAGACAGGTTGAATAGCTGGAATCTGGATGTATCTATTCTTCTTGAAGGCCACCGGACGATCTACTTCCCTCTGATCGACACTCACTGGTAAGCAGGACAAAGAAGGCTGAGACTGAGACATAGGAATCCCTGTCATGTTCGGTGAACTTTCTGGTTCCAATTTTGGAGCAGATGTCATGGAAACATGCATAACTTCTCTAGAATCTAACATGTCTGAATGAAATCCGACACCAGAATTTGATCTCTCTTCCGGACAAGAATTCCTGATGGATGGACTGCAATTACTGTAGTGACGAGACGAAGAATCTGAGTAACCAATGTTCAGACCATTAGAGATTTGCATTGCATGATTGAAGTCGATAGTTTCTCTCAAGGAGGTCTTGGGTCTTCGCGAAATGTTCCGGTTGATGGGATTGCTTGGATGATCAGCGGTAGCATGAACACCACTCTCGATCAACTGCGCCTTCCCTTCAACAGTTGGAGCTCCACCAGTTTTAGTCACCTTAGACTGCTCGGTTGGTGGAAGTTTATCACCTCTGCTAAGATCAGATATCGATGATGCAGCCAAAGCATCTGAGAACCTTATACAAAGGTTAAGCAACTGAGGCAGCTTCGTATGAGAAAAACTCTCGTTATGCCCATCGTTGCCACAGAAGGTGACGTGCTTTTCCAATGCACAGCAAGGCTTGAAAGGGTGACCAGCCTGTGGATCTCCGTTCAGAATTCTCGACTTCATGGAAGAAGTTTCTCTCGGACTTCTGAGAATGCCTTTGACTCGAAGAATCTCTGCCGCCCCTTGGTTTCTGGCTACCAGATTAGAACCATGGAATTGTTCGTATTCTTTGTTCTGCAAACTCGTTGCCGCTGCCTTCTTCTTCTTCTTTTGCCCGCCGAGAGAATGTCTGGAAGCTTTCTTTGATTCCTTTTCGGATGCCGAGTCTTCAAGTAACTGAGATATCAACCAAAAATGATAATCTTAGCTCATGGTTTTTCGCTGCAGCACATTTGCAATATTAAGTGATGCGGAGAAAAGGAATAAAACCATTAAAATGATGATAAATAAAAAACATTCACAATATATAAGTGATAAATAAGAAAAAAATAATGATGGTAAAGAAAAACAGCTATGATGAAAGAGAAAAAAAAAAAAACAGAAACAAAGGGGAAGATGATGACAAATAATGATAGAGGAGAAAGAATGATAGAGAGTTGTTACTGTTTTTTCCTTTTCCAAAAACATTATATAAAGATGTTTCTGACAATACGAATCAAAGATGAGACAATTAATAAATCTGACTGGCCAAGTCAGGTCCAAGATTAATAATTATGCTAAGTGTACAAAGTCTATCAGATTTCTTTTATTTATGCTATATATATATATATATATTTATGAAAGTCCAACATAATGATGTCAACACAAAATTGAAATATAGGTAAACAATTAATGTGAGTCTGGATGATATATATTTGAGTCTGGCTCCTAATTTATCAACTTAAGTTTTAGATTGAATTGATATTTGATTCAATATATATTAATCATGATTAGTCTGACTTCAATTTTTTAATCATTTTTAGTCGATACGTAATAGAGAATATTCTAGCAACCAATCTCATCTCGCTAGTTGATCGTCACTAGGGCACTAACACGAAAAACAAAGGCCCAATCACCTCTCACGAGGAAGTGATACGAAAGTAGCTATAACCTGTCGACCCCATGGACAATAATAGTCCACGGAAGACCAATTGGATCGGTCCGATCGGCTTTTGTGAACAATGGTCTATGAACAATCGCTCAATCTGCCCCTCCATTAGCTCTTGTGGACAAAATATTAGAGAGAAGACCTAATGATCGTTATAGGCTTACAACTCTTGTAGATGGAACGTTAGAGGGAAAGTGTTATGATCATTATAAGTGATTCCTTCGAATGGATAGGTATAAAAGTCGACCCTTAAACGCTAGTCTAAAAATCAAATCTTTCTGAAACTAACTCTTTTGCATAATAAATCGTCCCAAAACCAACTTGAGTGTAAAGAGATCAAATTGAAAAACATTCGCCTTTGTGTAAGAACTCATCAATAGACTGAGCCCTTAGGCTCGCCCTAGATGCTCGAACTCTATCCAAAAAAAACTATCTCGGTGTCACCTCGCTAGTCTCAAGACCCAATCAACCATCTCGTACGACTGTCACAGGTTTTTGAACGCCCCTTAAATTTTATGTCCTGACCGATTTCGTTTGGTTAATGCCTTTGCGTGTTGTTTATGTAGACTTAATGCCCTCGCGTGATGCAGTACGAGGAACAGTTGCAAATCCTCCTACATTTATCTTTTTTTGTCGGAAGGGGACGAGAAAACGCAGACGCATTTTTGTACCAAAAGAGTGGAATTGTGTGTACCTTTTTCCGAGAGCCGATCACAAGCATGAGCACCTGCCGTTGCGTCTTCGGCTTCTTACTTCCGGATCTGATCCAACACTTCTTGCCTATATATCTTTTCTTCTTCTTCTTCTTCTTCCAGCACTTGTTGCTAACGTGATCCCTCAGCGCATCGTCGGCTCCTTGTCCTCGTCCCCTCTTCTGTTCTCCGTCTTCCGCATCCACTCCGTGGCCAACATCTCCACCACATCCGATCGTTTCCTCCTCGATGCGCTCGATCTGCGGCGCAACGGCGAAGAGCTCCGCCACCGATCGTTTCTTGGGAGCCCTTAGCTTCGCCTTTGCCCTGGATCTGTCTCGCTCGAGGGCCGGCAATCCGCCGGCCGCGGCCGAGCGGACGGCCCACAACTCGTCGGACCACCATCGGTACTTCCGGAACGGGATCGGCGGCAGCGATCGCTCCCCTCCTCCGCTGGTGCCCAACGGCCAGCACTTTTCCATGTCGACACTCCTCATCTTAGCCGCATACTCCCTTCGATCACAAGAACAGAACATCGTACGACGAGATCAGATGCAAAGATGGAGGAGGAGAAGCGAAAAAGGTTCAGGCATCCATTACCGGATCGAGAAGCCCTCCAACGCGACAGCCATGGATTCGCTTGCGAGGAGCAAAATGAGAGAGAGGAAGAATCTTATAGTTGTCGCGGAAGAGAAGAGAAGACAAGAGGAGAGAGAGACAGACATATAACAGCAAGCGGTTCGCTTTTGCCTCCTCGCTACCGCTTTCTATTTTTCCCGCTCATTCCGGGCTTCTTCTCCAGAAAGCGTGTATGTTTATTGAGTCGATTTTACTTGGGAGAATTAGAAACGAGACCGGCATGAATTGGTGTAGCGACAACCCAGGTAATCTGTTTGTTTTCCCCATGCAACGTACCCCGCAAAGGATTGCATCCACGTACATGGGACCTGCTAGTTGGGTTGTGGGGCCCGCGTCATGACATGACAGCGTACGGTCCCTCCGGTGTCTTGACCGAGCGATCAAACACAGAAAGTGGTCCTCTCGTTGGTCGTCGGCAGTAATTCCGGGTGGGGCCTACGCTGCTTCATGTCGCGAGGACCGTACCACCGCGTGTGATGATCGATGGATGGGAGTCAGTTGGAACAGAGCGGATCCAACGGTGACGATGAGGTTTAGGATACATGGCACCCCGGCGGGTCTCGGGCACGTGATTGGGCAGCAGACGTGGTACGGTGAGACGAGGTGGGGGTGGACTTACGGAGGCTCGGAAGTCGGGAACTCGGAATCTTGCGAATTTGAATCCAACTGGTCGGACGTCAGGTACGTAGCGAATTGGTGTACGAACGATGCCAGGTTTCAATGACCAGAATGTAGGAGATTTCACTACACATGGCATAGCAAAATAGACTGGTGTGATTTCGGGTCACTGCATTTGCCGTGCTCGAATGGCGACACGCACGAAGGAGTGCAGTGAGCAGCGGGCTTTGAAGGCCATGAAATGTAAGTCGAGCACAATGGTTCGCAGAGCTAAACCGGCGGAAGATGGCGTCCAAGGAAAAAAACGAGGGCCGTTCATAATGTTATTTCAATTCAGACACTTACGGAGAATTGAGCTGAACAATGGTTAGAAGCCACTCTTGTAATGTCCGAACTATTTGGTGGGCTATAGCAGTTTGAAAACACTATTAGTTGAAAAATAACATCACTTTATTTTGTGTTTTAATGGCTACAATAATTCTATTTCATCAATATGATTCATCCACTATCAAAACGATGGTGACATGATTTTAGTAAAGCAATCAACTGTTCAAATATTATAACAATGGGAACTTATTTTTAGTACAGTTGTGTCAAAGCGTCTACATGCTTTTTGTCCCAAAAGTTCACCTTCCCATAGATATTATCAACAAAGCAAGCCTTGATCAAGAGGAATCACCAAGTTATCGGTGCTTCCTATCAATTAAAACCAAACCTCAGTATCTTACTCATGCTGTCTTCTTCGTCTCTTCTCGACTGAGGGAGTCAGCTACTGAAGATTTCTTGATGAGCGTGATGAACGGCTGCTAGGGTTTGAGTTGTCTTTCTTCCATATGGCTTCAAAATTATAGAAAACCTTCAAAGGTCTCACCTGGTTAGAAAAAGAAATCACAGCAAAGTGAAGACCACTTCTTTGTGTCAAGGCTTTGCCATAAGAGTACAAGGGTGCAGTTGCCGGAAGTCGAAGAAAGCAGACAATAGCCAGAAAGTCCACAGCTTACATGCACAAGATTCATGTTTAACAGTCGACAAAATGACATGCATTCACAAACTCCTCACTATCAATAATATCGTAGCCCTTAGATTACTAACCATGACAGTTTCCAAAGTGCCATGCACTCGGATGCTTCATTGCAGGTTCTTTATTGAATGCAACTTTTGTCTTCTCAAGTGGCTTAGAAGACCTTCAGAAAGTCATAGTTGTACTTTTTTAATTCCAAAAGTTTGTATATCATTTCCAAGTGCAGATTAGTTTTTGTTTGCCAAAAAGGAGAATAATCAGTAGCAACACAAAGGTGAGAGAAAATGACAATCGCATGGTACACCATGAAAATGGATCAAGAATCAAAATATGCACAGAAAAAGTTCTCAAGTTAAATTTAGGGAAAAGTCAGAAAAATGTCTAATCTACTATAGATCATAAGAAATATACCTTCCAACGCTGTTTTTGAGCAATTTGGTTCTGTATAATTAACAACTGGTCAATTATATTTTTAAAAGTTGGTCTTTCGGCAGGGTCCTCGCTCCAACACTGCTCAATCAACCTATAAAGAACCAGGAATTCAGATGTGTGATCAATGTGTTCAAATCAAAACAGATTACTACTACATAAAACAACAGGAGATAATTCATGGCTTCAAGCTTATCACCAGTAAGACAACCATAATCTATTGCTCAGAGTGAACTGAGCTATTGTAATAAATCAATACAAATTCCTGGAAGAAACTCTATATTAAGAAATAAGAGTGAAATAAAAAGGGACCGATATGCATAGTAAAAGAAAATGCCTGAACCTTTAGGGATAAGTTACTTATCTGGAATTTCAAGGAAAGATAAATAGTGCCAACAGAGATAAGGAGAAAAAAGAGCTCCAAATAGAGTGGAATACCAAATCAAGTGTTGACCAACTTTCTTAAATGCTTTGTGGTTACTTCATCTATATTTCTATAGCTTTGCTCTACGGACAAAATTGTAGTTATATCATCAGATTTGCTAACTGGTTTTAGTAGCCAATCTCCCAGTTTAACCTCTTTTCTATCCCTTTGTACTGTTGCAATATTAAACAGAGCCTTGGTATTTGCTCATTGTACTTTGGCCACTAAAAGCACCTTCTTTTCTTGCAAAATTATGTGTGTGCCAACTAAAAGAAAATGAATGGATCATAATTTTCCATTGTTTATGTGTTTTCATGGATCAACTGGAATAATAAATACCTCAAGTGCATGATGTTTCTAAACAATCCTTGTTTGGTTTTGTTCAACAACACCTAGAATCTCTAGCATTATATTAACTAAACTAATCAATGAAAATTTACACATGTTACTTTATTTTCCCTTAATATGCCCACGATTCAATGGCAGAAAAACATCCATGTAGTCTACCCCAAATAAAGCAACAACTAGAGTACACTGCTGACCACCGTATTATAGCACATAAAAATCCTAGCATCAAAGACAGCAGAATACATACTCTTTCAGTCCATGAGGATACTTCTTTCGATGAGCTGTAAACGGAGGCCTCTCTTTAGATGCATATGCTTTGGGAACTTCATCATCTTGTTTTTTATTAAAAGGCAGGAATCCTTCAATCATCTGACAAAAAAAACCTGATATAAGTTTAACTTCTGACTGAACCACAAGTACCTGATCGGGTATACGAGAGCACTATTTCCATATATTGACATAACATGTCACATCGATTAAACAAAAAATTGAACTCTAAAACGAGTTGAAATTTCATTTCTTATTTTGAGGGGAGCATATAATGTAATATGGCAAATCTCCATCATAGTTAACTTGGCAGTGATATTGACCTGGAACATGGAGAAGTTCAAGGTTGGCCTAAGTGTGAGAGCACAAATGTGTGACAGGCATATGAGATAGTATTTATTTTAGATAAGACAAAAAAACAATCTAATCAAATTTGAATTTTATTTGAGCTTCAATGAAGAGAGGACTAGAGAAGAATAACCTCTGTCATTCAGCCAAACCAAAATCTTTCTCATTCTATTTTGGTTTATATGTCAATTTTTGTGATTAGTGACACTTTTTCAATGAACTTCTAAAATAATCACAATAGTTCATGGGGATCGTAGAATCATTTGAGTTAATTAAGCATTCTAGAGTTTGCAAATATAGTAAATAGTCACAATCAACATTACCCATGAGGAGAAATTATAACAAAACAGTAATTCTTAGCACAAGATGCATGACTGACATGAGATAAATAGCGAATGCCACACATGACACACTTAAAACCAGCAAATTATGAAACTTGAAATTCGCATATCAAGAGTACCAATAAACTAAATAAGATCGATCAAAGAACAACACCTACATGCCAATCATATGAAACAAATATTGGAAAAAAGTCTACAATAGTTCAATAGAAAAGCAAAGAAAACTTACCTCTTTTAGAATCAAAGAAAAAGAAAAAACATCTACTTTTGTGTCATATTCTTCATTGCGAAAGACTTCTGGGGCCATGTATCTGCCTGTTCACAGAAAAGCAAAGCATATTACAGAAGCTACATGTGTATATGAAAAGCATAGAATAAAGTAGTGTTTGACTGGAAAATTCAGTCATGAAGAAGTTATTTCAGGAGCTTTGCACAACCACAATCACATGTTCATCATTCAGAGAAAAAAATCCAAGCGGCAAAAAATTAGAAAATGAATATATCTAGAGAACTCTGTAAAATGTTTGAGATTTGCCTGGAGAAAACTTCCTATAGAAGTACTAAGAAACACGAATGTAGGCTTTTATGATACATATATCATGCATAAGTAGGCATGAAGGAGAAAAGTTAGTTAGAAACAGAATGTCATCATTATTCTAAACTTCATGATTGTTTTGAACTTAATTATCAATAGTTACAGAATAATATCAGGAAAGTCAAGCAGAAGTTTCTTATGAAAGATGACAGGTAAGATAAAAAAAATAGGATGATGATGAGAAGAGCTAAAATTATAAGAGAAGACAATATAAGAAAGAAGAAGAAAAATCAGATATTCAAAATGATTTAAGTAGCTTTCAAAATAAAATAATATATAAATAAGTCTAAAAATGTTTATACCTGAAATCTTATATACAGATATATAAAGGAGATCTAGGTGAATTGTAATCAAAATCTTGGGCTCCTTTTTTCTATTAGTCCCTCAAATCTTTTTAGTTTTGCATACAAGTCCCCTAATTTTTTGTTATAACTTTGTATATATTAGTCCCATGGCTAAAATTGATTGAATATTCGGGTTAAATTGCATTAACCATTTTAGATCATTAGCAATAGCATACTAGATAACATCTCTATTCTGAAGAAAAATGTATTTATTTCCCATGTAAAGCAAGCATATCTACCCTCACTCTATGCCACGAATTCATTTTTGCCAAGTTAAAAACTAACCCCAGCTGAGAGAAGTGAAGAGGGATTAATGTTTGCAACTGAAATGATTATAGGCTTTCAGATAAATAAGATCAAGGGATTAATATGCAAAAGTATATCCTTAACAGAAAATAAAAGTTCTGATATCCTTAATAGAAAATATTATATTGAATCTGAATGATATCACAACCTTTTATGCTGAAAGGTGGAGAGAAGACAAACAAGGTACAAATTTATTCAACCATATTAAATAGTTCAACAGCAAATAGTAGAACCTAACTTCAAGTAAAATTTTATTAATCAAAGGAATTAAAGTGGAGTAAGAGAGAATTGCTACACTTACATGCAGTGTCTAGAGAAGTCAATGGCCTAACCTCTCTTATGGTTTTTGCCATTCTTAACATCTTACTAATACCAAAGTCTGCAACTTTCAGGTGTCCAGAATCATCAAGCAGAATATTTCTGTTATCTTACAATAAGAAAAGAATGTTAAACCATTGAAGCCATCAAGGTGATGACAACATAAACATGCAAAGATCAGTTCAGATGGTAAAAGTCAAAAAGAAATTTTAAGTCTGATCACTCACGAAGGCTCAAGATCACGGTGAATGATGGCTTCAGGTTTGTGCTCATGCAAGTAATTCATTCCTCTGGCAAAATTTGCTTAGTTAAAGACTAGTCAAAGAAATGAAGTATATTAACTTTTAAACAAGAACAATAGTTTAGCATTATTGACTCTCATCTTTAAATTGTTCAACCAACCTAGCAATATCAAGTGCGAATTTGACTGCCAATCTTGGTTTTAAAGGTCCCTTCATATTCAAAAAGGCACGCAAATCACCCTGCATATGCAAAATAACTAAATAGCATGAGAGTAAGAAGAAAATGTTCACTATTTGTATGAGAATGTCAACCATTCAATTAATATAAAAGGTGGGTTGGGCAGAAAGAAATGCCAATCCTAACCACAGCACATAACCCCATAAAGATAATATATAAAGCACATGGCATGATGGCATGGCATGGTAAACATGTAGTCATAGGATGCCATGTCATGTACCAGTGCCAGTCATGTGTCAGCCACATGCGCAAGATTAATATGTGGGTTTCGGCTGAGCAAGGCATGTTACACAGTGCCAATAACCCATAAAGCACAGGCACAGCCATGTGATAAATTGTATGGATATTTGCTTAGATTTTAAGTCCATAACCACCCTCTTTTTTATTCTTGCTTCTGCACCATAAAGCTAGGTTCCTATCAGACCAAGTGACAAGCACGCCGAGTAAGTGACATGGAGTTCAAATGAATCATTTTATTCTATTCTCTGAAACAATTGACAAATAATAAATACTGGAAAGGATAAATAACGAACGTTATAAAAGCAAGCTAAACCCAAATTGGTTTACATGATAGATAGTTTTAGATATCAAGCAGGGCAGTCATGCAGACTATGGATATAACCTTTGGCAAATATTCTGTGACAATCATCATAGGGCTACTTTGAGTAACAGCACCCAAGAACTGGACTACATTTGGATGTCTAATTTTCTGAAGCAAGGCAAGTTCATCCATAAATGCACTCCTGAAAAAAACAGAATGAGGTTCCAAGTGATAAATCATTTACTAGTAAGAAAGGTGCACATACGCACCAAGAAAACATTATAATTTGAGCAAACATATAACTCTGTAGATAATATAGGACCAACCCACACTTTATCTTCATCGGTCATTACATCTTCACCAAACATTTTAACAGCAACTTCAATTCCGCGCCAAGTAGCTAATAGAAATGTCCCCTGAAAAGATATCAAAAATAGGGGGTAAACAAACTCACAAGTATCATATTTGTAATTACCATTTACTAGACCTGCCAAAGCAGTTCATGTAAATATTTTAACAGCAATACCCAAGTACGTAAAACCAAGGAAACGCTTGCCCAAAGCTAACTCCAGGCATTATTCCTGTGTAGCATTGAAGTATTTCATTCACGAAAGCCATGCTGCATCCCCCCTCTCCACAAAGTTTGGTCATCATGAGTAGCATGTGGTCATCGCCACATGGGAGAGGAGTGCACGATTCAATAACCAATAGAAGCCAGTAAACTCCAATTGGCACTCAGACATGGCAATGTCCCCCTGTTTGAAACCAATTTGGGCTGAAAGACGGCAGACGGCCCCAGTAGGTCAGACATTGGTCATGGAAGTTTGCAACGGATGTGGCTGATGTGGTGAAACAGCTTTGTCAAGAGGGATGTGGGGTGATCAGCCTTTACCTGATTGGAGGACACTGGAGATGCATAAGGGGTTGGGGGTGGTTGCTGCATCACACGTATAGCATCAAACATCAAGCTACATTGTAGCATACCCCATCATCACCAGAACAAAGCACGAATTTTAACAGATCCAATGTTACCAAAGGTAACAAAAGAAAAACAACTACGATCGAGCAACAACTGGGAATTGTGATGATGCTAATACCCGAACAAACAATGGTTGGTCACACTACCTAATGGATTCCGAAGCCAATACACCAAATTCACCTAAGGTGGTCTTGCACTTAGGTGGATACATTGAAGAGATCCTTGGTGCTATATTACCAAATTGAATTGTCTTCTGCCTGTTCCTCAGCCTCAAGTGATTGCATAGCAGACTCCCTAAAGGTATATCTACAACCCATATGCAAATGTGATTACTTCAAGAGAGGTCAATCAAGCCTATAATCTAAGGTGATTGCATAGCAAACACCTTACGGATATACCTTGATCCAATATGGGGTTTGGGTTTGACGATCCGTCGACTCAATACCACATTTGGGATGGAAATTTTGACGGAGGAGAGAACTATCATAGAAAGATCAAGCATAAAACCGAAAGAAAACAACTTTTATTGCTTGTAAGGCTAAAAAGCTAACTACAAGACATACAATAATGGAATTAAAAGCGTGATAGAAAGCTTCCGAATGCTTAAGAACGTAGGTTGTCTTTGGACAGCACGTAGGTGCTCTCGGCAAATTGTGTATCGCTGTCAGTTTTCGGTCTCCTCTCTTGCGGCTGGAATCTCCTCCTGAGGTTTGGACAGAAGGCAGCAAGCTTTGGGGACTTCTCACAGCAGCTAGATGAAGCTTTGAAGTGGAGCTTTGGCTGCTGAAATTTGAGGAAGAAGGCTGCGGCTAGAGGTTGAGCTGCAGCTATGAAGAACCCTTCCTTTCTCTCTTCTCATCTCTTCTCTCTTCTAAGGCTAGAAAAGCTAGGGCTAGCTGGGCATTGCTAGGGACTTCTTTTCTGTTGCCTTCAGATGAAGGAACACCCTTTGTTTTAAAGACTTTCCTTGTGGGGCACAATAACTAGGATTTTCCTTGTAGGGCTTTCCTTGCAGTGCACGCACAGCTACCATTTTCCTTGTAGGGCTGCCACACCCCCCTTGCTTGATGGCTGCCCCTATTTGGTTGAGGGCTGCTCTAATTTGAGTCCTATTAGGACTTGGATTGAGGTGCGTGGGCTGCTGAAATCTGGGCTTCGCTTAGCCAAATAAGGCTGAATAGTGTTACGATCGTCCCTAATGAAGCTGATGAAGCCTATAACGATCAGGAAGGACTTTCTATGATAATGATGACCCTCTAATTGTGCATTATGCAGCCTCCCCACCACCACCAACCGTATAACAATAACATTATTTATGTCAATCGTGCACTATATGCAGCACCTAATCTCCGGTAGAAGGAAGAATAGTTTGGCGCTATAGTCTTAGCAGCAATAAAACATTGATCATGCAGCTTTGTTAAACAGTTACAACAATGCATCAGCCTCGCTCACACAACAAAAATTGGCTTTCAGTGGTAACACGACAAGTTGGCTCTTCCTGGAAAAGCAGTTCTTTAAATGCACATCTACTCCTCTAGACTCCAAGGTTGATTAGCCTTTTTTTCACTTGGAGGCTGCTACTGTTTTTTGTGGTACAACCAGTACCAAAAGCAACGTGCTTAGCAAACATATATGAAAAAAAATTCTATAGCCAGAAAGAATTCTCAAATTTTGTTGACACATGCTTTCCAGAAGAAGTCTGAAAGAGTCAGCAAGATGCTTCTGAAGTTTTCTCAACACATGTTGATCAGATAGTTCATCGGTAGCCAAAAGATCACCTGGGCACTAAGTTCTTAATAAAAATGGCTTGCATCAATAGCCTTAGTCGATAATTATAGTAGAGTCAGGAGAATTTTTGAAAGGATTAGCAATATGCTTCCAAAGTTCTCCCAAAATATGCCAACTAGATAGTTCATCAGCAGCCTAAAAGTTTGTCTAGGCACTTAGGTCTTAACAATGAAAACTATTTAATCACTTGCTGTTTTTGATGAGACCAGACTTACAAAAGAATATCTTTCCTACCAGGAGCACCGTACAGACCTTAAGACTGAAGGTAGATTGATCTCATCCTCACTTCCTGATGACTAGATTGGCATACTATTTTAAAATTGTGGTGGACTAGAATCAAATCAGTCTCTTCAACTTATCCAGTCGAAACCAGAACTTTGGCAATATCTGAGCCACAAAGCATCAGAGAGGGACTATGTTTCTGTGATGACAAAAGGCGGACAACAAGCCACAAACTCAAGCTAGTTACTTTGATCACCTTAGCTGAGGAAGATGCTGAAGAAGAGAGTCTCAGCTTTGAACTGGCTACATAACCAAAAGTATGCATAGTTTTTCCTACAGACCTTGACTGGGATAGCTCTAATTATGCAGGCCATGAAATTTACAAATTCTGTCTATAGCTATTTTGTCACCACCATGGTCAACACTGGTTAAACCAACAACTTTCTTAGCTTGATAGGTCTATATTTGGTGGTTAGTGTATGAGCACCCCACCAAAGATCACATAGAAATCGTATAAAGATGATAATTATGTACACAATCAGATGGAATCAAAGTGTCTACTGATGCCACAATGGAGGCAAAAGAAGAGTGGTCTCCACAAAATGTTATATCTGAATGCAAGTAATGTTACGTCTCTTAAGATAAAAAGAACCAATGAAATTAATGGAAAGTTGGATGCCACAGAAATTTAGAGTGAGGAAACTTTTTTTTTTCTGGCATTTATAACAAGGACATCTAGTGAAAGGCTACAGTGGGGAGAGGAGAACAAGGAAAACTTTATGTATTGAACAGGAGATGAGAACCAACATTATGACCTAGATATATGCTAAGACATGTCTCTCGATAGAACTGAATGGAGAAGAAAATCCATGCAGCCAAGATTTAGTACTGATTTGAGTACAATGGCATTGTTGGTATTTATAGAAAAACCAGCTTATACTTGGTTATAAATTTCTTAAGTTAATCAAGACATTGTAACATTGTAACACGACTAACAGATCGAAGAAAAGTCTGATCCAAGAAAGAAGCCTAAAGTTGAGACCAAATTTTAGTTGTTAAAGAAGATTAAGATTAAATTGTGTGGCTATGAAGAGAGACTGAGAGACCAAAATAGAAAGTAGAACTATATACTATATCAGGAAGAGTTGTATGTGCTGATGAAGATGAATAGGCACCTTAGTAATGAAAACACTGTTAGTGAAATCGAGTTCATTGGATTCAATCTCATATTCTGGTACTTCTCGAGCAATCTTAGCATGTGTGGGGACAACCTACACAATACACAGAAGAAACAAATGTCATCTCAATAGTTTAGTATGGGAAAGTATGTCATCAACCCATGATGCAATTGACATGCATGACATACCGGAAGCTTAGCACCATGCTGCTCCAGAATCCTGATCACTTCATGGTTTCTGTAATGCATGGCATCTGCAAGGGGCTGTCAGTGAAGCAACAGTGAGAAATATCTAAATCAAAGGAATATGAGTTGCTCCTAAGTTTCTATGGTGATAAAGCCTGTTGGTTTTTGTAGAATATCCATTGGTTAGCTTAATTCACATGCTTCTTCATCTTTTCAGTTCTCACATGGATTTAATTGGCTGAAATATCATCATTTTGAAGAAAATTTTAAAATATATAAACCAAGGTGAGGCTCAAATATGCACCTGAAGGAAAATAATGGCACTCAATGAAACATGCATAAAAATATGGCTAGTTTTTCACTTACATTAGCAAAGAAAATACTAGATAGGAATTAGTGACCTGAACAAACACTAAGAATTGAGATAGAATAACACCTAAAAATCCCTTCCACTGAAACTAAGATAAAGCAATGAACCAGAAAGCTAGAAAACAGTAGCGTGTTACACTATTCCATATAGGATCCCTCCAAATAAAAGTTGAGTGAAACATCAGAGAACTACCCACAACAAAGCAAAAGGAGAAGAGAAGGAATGATTTCATTGGAAGGAGCATTGCAACAGTACCATGTTTTTAAATAATTATGGGAGTCGATGAAATTCTAGATTTCCTGGAAATCCTGATTAAATTATCACAGACAGAAGCATTAAGAAAAGTTTGGAATACTTGATATTGTTTTCCCTAACATGTTCAATTCTGATATGGTGCATTGTTAAGAAGTCTTAACTTTTAAGTTTACATCTTGTGAATGACAGTTTCAAAAGAATAAAGGTTATCTTACCCCTTGATTTGAAGGCATGACTTCTTGGTCTAATGTTATGTTAAAGTTGCATTTTGAACACAATACAAATATCTTCTGAGAGCTTATTGTTGTATATTTGCAAATGACCAATCTATATAAGAGGAATGACTTGTCAGAAAGATTTAACAAATTCGAATGAATTTCAGTAATTGCTAACCTGTCAGAAGATGATTGCAAAAACAATGTGAAATTCCAACTAGAGCAAATAAGTTATTCATAACTTAAGAACAATATAGAACACATTAATTTAAGAAGGTTTAAATAGAGTTTAACTGTAAACTCAGAGATACACTCAACTTGGAACAAAAGACCATACAATTGTTTCACTGATTTTATTTGTCCTTAGCCAACCATGCTTTATCAACAATAAGAAGCAGTTGATGGCAAAAGAATCATGTCTTCAGCCAATGATTCGCTTTCGCTTTCAGCTAAAGACAATGTGTTTTCTTTCATGAGGGTGATCTAAACCACCAATAAAAGAATACAAAGATTCCTCATCTCATGAAAATGTAAAATGCAATGTGACACCAAATCAGGTAAATCAATCTCTATGCCATCCATGGAGAACAAGATTAAAAACATTACCGAACTATCCTATATGTTACACATCTCACATTCGTACTTTCACAAGTCAATCAAGATGGGCTTGCAACAAGAGCAATGCTAGCATTAGTTTTCTATCCATCCATCAGTTTACTTCGCTAAAGAAAAGATCCAAGATCTTATCAATATCTAGCCAATAGGAAACATAAGAACAGCGGGAGAAAACACGAGTATCTAAGAACAGCGGGGCCTCACCGAACTGCCCCACCGATCTTGGGGATCGACTTTGGCGCCCCTACGGATCAGTAGCTCGACGACTTCAGCGAACCCCTGGCAGGCGGCGACGTGGAGCGCGGTTCGGCCATCGATGTCGCTGAAATTGACGTCGACACCGGAGTCCAAGATCTCCTGGATTCCGTCCAGGTCGCCCTCGCTGGCGAGGTACATGAGGCGGATGTCGGAGCCAATCTCGGCGGGGACGTGAGATCCGTCAAGGACCTCCGATCGCAGGGACTCGTCGCGATCCTCCCGGGGGGCGAGCGAGGACTGCCTGCCGAGTGTGAACCGCCCCGTGGACTTGGATTCCATTGCTGGACTCGGAGAAATGTGGGAGGAAGCGGAGGAGGAGGTCGGAATCGGATCACTAGGGTTTGACTCGGAGCCGGAAACCCCTGTTTCGGGATTAGACTCAAACTCAGCACCTGGATTCTTGGAGCCGCTCTGGCCGCAAACAATGGGCGGAAGACGACTTTGCGTTGGAGTCGGTAACGATGGGCGGCGGTGGTGTCTAAAGTCCCATTTTTATTTTTATTCTTAATTGACGGTGCATTGAGGGTTGGAATCGGATGTCAGCTTCTGTCAGAACACATAAAACGGACGCGTCTTCGTCGAGGCACGGAGCAGGGTATGACGCATCCTGGTTTGCCACGAGCAAGGGACCCACCGTCTGATTCCTTGGCACAACCCCCACGAATTAGACCCTCATAAATAGTGTTAACGAAAAGAAAGTTAAAGAGCATTTACAAGTTGATTTATGAGTTACACCAACAGTTTAAAGCCATCTTTATTTACATCCAGTCTTTTTTAATTATTTAAATAACGAAAATTTAAAATATTAAAAGATAAAGAAAGAAAAAACATTCAATGCAACACACACACACACACACACACACACACATATATATATATATATATATATATATATAGGAAGTCCGATGCAAAGCTTAAAGAGTAAAGAATAAAATCACGCATGCAACGATAACCGGTACAGTATGCCCAAACCAAACCGCCTTACCCGGTTATGTCTATATGGCCATTGACCGGGCTGACAGATGTTACGTTAGCTCATCGTCGAGCGCAAAGCAGTAAACATCAAAAAGCTCCCAGAAAACCGATACAGCAGCTCTCAGTTTGGAGGAGCTCTGGAGACTCAAGCTTATGGAGAGCACCTCACCGGTGTCAACATCTTTCCAATGGGAGGGGAGGCAATGCTTTCTTCGGCTCTCTAACGTTATTTACTAAACATGCTATCTCCCTTTGCCCCGTTTCTACCGTTGCTCATCTTCATCTTTATACAGAAATGCGGCAGCCCATGCTTGAGGAATACCATCAACTTGCAGTGCAGCTTCATGTGCTGCCCTGAAACGAGAGTGGCTTTCCTGTACCATTACAAATATAATGAAGTCATTTCAAAGCTGATGAGTAATAATCATGAAAAGATCAGATGTGTGACATAGAGAGGCATTTTTTACATGGTTAATGGTCTGGAGTAGCAGGCCACCCTGATATCTGAACATAGCTATGCCATTAAAAATTAACTCCAAGAGGCCATTGTGCATTATCTAATTTTGAGCTTTCCAGTTAAGCCTAAGGACATTGGCAATAAGAGCTTTCAGTATCATCAGGTTCACATTAGCTGTATGACAGTGGAACACCCTTCAATCTCCCAACAAAGGCACCGAAAACTAATAATGAAATTATGTTAAAAAGCCTTTGGATGCAGTATAAAAAGTGGCATCAGAATACAAATGAGCACATAAATC